ACATGAACAACAGAAGTAATTTGGTAGTCCAAAGTTATTCCTCACTTACCTTATGCATTCTGAGCATACAAGTTATTCATCACAATGAGTTGATAAGCGCTTTTTACAACCCACAGACACCATCACAGTAAAGCTAACAACACCTAGCATGCTCACACACACTTCCTAATTATCAGAAAGCAAAACGCTTTTTAATTAGAAGCTGACAGTACACAAGACGTATTTTGCAATATCTGTACTAGAGTAAAAAAAACACACAAAAAAATGTCTTTGTCCAAAGTCTGAACTCTGCTCAAACCACATGCTTTGACTGTTTATCACAATTAAACTTGATAGAATCTCGCTCTTGATTGAAATTGAATTAATTGCCATACCAAAAATCTTCACCACAGAGAACTGGGATTACATTGGAACATTCAGGACCGGAATGGACAGTGTATCCAAACATTCCTGATATTCTCCTGGGTGTCAGATTTGTCTTTTTAGTCAAACTAGTGGGTTACAATGAAAATCAGTGGCTGTATGTTCAAGCTATCATCATAACAGGACAACATCATTTCATTTCATTACTTTTCTACACTTTCTGTATATACAGGCAACAACACTGAAGGGCCTGATTTATGTTATATTGTTGTTTCCTCATCACAAACATACCTGGAGTTGTGTTTTGTTTCATACACACGTTTAACACACAAACCCCGCACATTTATAGGTTCTTCTCTCAAACTGAAAATGCAGGAAGTGATCCACTGTGTTTTTAAAGTCCATATACCTTGACTAGAATCATTTGGATGATTTCAGTCCTAGAATTACCAAGCTCTACTAAAAATAAGTTAAAAGGTAGCTTTTATCTTGAAAACTACCACTTCATGACATATAGAACAGAGCATTTTGAGCTTCTGAGATGCACACAGACTAATAATAAAGTATTAATCAAACATGTGTGAATGAAACAAAATACAACTCCAGGTTTGTGACGAGGTAACGGCTGATTATGATTGATTATTTATTTATTTCGGTCACAGGTATATTTTGACATTAATTCACAGACAGTCATATTTAACATACACAGACCGAAAAGGTGTAGGCTGAAGCTTAAGCTTATTATGCCTACCCTGTATTCCTTTATCAGAGCGTCATCTTGACACCAGTTCATCTTCATAAATACAACAAGAGGAAACAAACACATTAGAAACGGTACAACAAAGTACTACAGCACAAACTAAGTATCATATTTCATGTATCTGTCCAGAGTTAAACATTTAAACTTCTTTATAAAGTGAAAGAGACTGGGGCAGAATTTTAGGTTTTCTGTACAGTTGTTCCAAAGCTCCACCCCTTTAACAGATATACAAAATTTCATAATGTTTGTTCTGATTTTCTTTTTGATAAACATGGCCGTGCCTCTGAGCTCATATTGGCTCTTTCGGATTTTGAACATGTTCTGTAAAGATTTTGACAGGAGATTTTTGTGTACTTTGAACATGATTTTCAGTGTATAAAGGTCGACTAAATCATAAAATTTCAGAGTTTGAAGGTTTATAAATAACACATTGGTTGATTCGTTATAAGCTGATAATGTGATTGCTCTTATTGCCTTTTTTTGCAAGGTAAAGACTGGATTTGTATTAGCCTTATATGTATTGCCCCAAATCTCAGCAGGTTATGTAGGGCATTACCAGCAAGTTGTATATAATAAAAAGACTGTTTTTATCTAGTAACAGCATTCTAACATGACTTAAAGCTCACAAGAGTCAAATTTGCATAATATAGGGTGTTTAAAACAAATAGTTTTGATCATAGCCTGAACACAATAGAACAACCTTACAAAGTTAAAAGTTACCCTACTAGTTGTTTACTATCTGTCATCATTTATTTCCAGTCCACCTTAAGCTTGGACAGGACTTTGACACACACAAAGGAGCAGACCATCTTTTTGACATTTCCATGATAATACATGTTTGGACAATGGCCATGTGATGAAGGCCTCTCTTGTTTTGCCTTGTTCCATTGTAGCAGCAGTTTGAGGGTCATGGCACGGTTACACTTTGAGGATGAGAACAAAACCTGAGCTCCTCACTGCTACCTTTAGAAGACGTCAACATTGTGGAACATGTGACCTGATTTGACCCATCTTAAAATCAAGGCTCAGAACAAAAGTGTCAATCTTCTTTTGGAGATAAAATGTGTGGTACCATCAAAAGACAAGACATCTCTCCCTAAACATAATCTGTTAGCCAATATGTAATGGCTAATACTGTTTTGAAGCACTTGCCCATATATCTGGTTTTAGGGATGTGAAGTTTGTGAAGGAGTCGGTTCTTTTAAATGATTCTTTAATGTGAATAAATGGAATTGGATTTAATTGTACCCACTCTTTTTCGTTCCTGTTTGTATGCATTTTTACAATGATTAACACTAAACAACACAAAAATAGAACAGAAACAGAGTGGGCAAAAGGAGTGAAAGCTTTTTTAATCTTAATACTAGCTTGAATTAGTTTTTGAATTATTATTATTGTAGCACTTTATATGTCTTATTTAGAATTTGATCATTTCAAAGGGTAAAACACTCCCACTCTCAGTTTGAACCATTAAAAAAAAATAAAAATCTTAGTCTTGGTCATTTCTGTGTTTAGTAATGAGTTCTCACATGGGCTTCTATCATATAATTGAAAGTTAATGACAACTTGCATGCTAACCATATACTTCCTGATTATCCGACAATAAAATGCTTTATAATTAGAGTGAGACAGACAGCTTGCTGGGGACATATTTTGATCTCAAGAGCTGCTTATACAATATATCTGTACTGGGGCAAGATACATTTTTTGGAAAAAAAAAAAAAAAAAGCACAGGGCCTTTAAGTTCAGCATTCTTTTTATTTCAAATAAAGGCAATGACTTGTTTTATTCTATGACATTTGAATGCACCTTTGAGTCGAGGGTAGCTTCAGTGGAGTGGGAGTTTCGTCTTTCCACTGCCTCTGCAAAAGTCTGCTTCCTTTGGACTTGGCACAGCCTTGGATTACACTGCAATTCTGGACCTGCGGTTTTCCAAAGGAGCTAATGTGGTGTATAGAAAGGCCAACACCAGAGTTTTCATATTTACTGGATAATCATTTTCCAGGGATGAATATTAATAATAATATAGAAATTTTATGGTTTCAATTTTTATATCTCAAAGGTTATAATTATTTAGGTAATATAATGTCATATGCAAAGAACTTATTATCATGTTTCAGATGGGTATTACAATGTGAAAAAAACATGTTTTGTAGTTTAGATCTCTTCCTTAATATGATTACAATTAATAATTTTGCACTATAAAGGGTCTGTGGCTGATTTCAAACCATGAGTCAACAACAATCTTTAGCCTTGCTCACATAGTAATATTGCGCTATGACAGAGAAATTACAGTCTGGGATAGTGCCATTGTTATGTTTTTTTGTTTGTTTTTTTATAGTTCTCACATCACTGCCTATTATTTCTCTATTTTTGTTCATTGAAAATGCACCATGTCTGAGAATTGAGTGTGTGGGATAGTGCCATGCAGTTACTTTCCCCTGATTCATAATAACAATGTGCCTGATTGGACAAAACAGTCCGTGTCAGGAGCTTCTGTATTAGTTATTACCTAAGAAAATGCTTTGTAAAATTAAGATTACATTGTTTTATTTAACAGCTTTTACCATACAATACATGATGTAAATGAGCACTTGACAAGAATTAATTAAAATCAGGTATAGGCTCTTTTTTTTTTTAATGCATATTTAATTGCAGTGTTCATGTCAGATAAATTGCCATTTTATTTTCTCCAAGATTATTCAACCTAAATCACTTTTCATGTTAAAATTCGGGCTAGAGTCAAGGTTGCCCCCTGAGTCCACTTCTATTTGCTCACATTTTACTTTTACTTGCCCAGAGCATTTTAGTTTTGTCTCTTTTGCCCCTCCCCACCTGTTTGTATTTCAGTAGCCACATTTTAGTCGAGTCAACAAAATGTAGAGAGTAAATTATTGATACAACCATTCACCAGACACACAGAGTCCCCAGAGCGCAAAAGACGAGGTGAAATCGTGGTCAGATGAAAGTTGAAAAGACGGTACACGTGGTACTGAACATGAGGTCAGTTTGAGTGCAATGACATGGTGAAACAGAATAGTTCTGTTTACTTATTTTGGAGTGATTTAATATACATGCTACAGTATTTTTGGCATATTATTGAACACCTCAGATTACAAAATTGATAGATTTAAATATTAGGATATGAACATGAGTAGGTAGGGCAGATATGAATATCAGTTACATTAATTCCGCATCTTTATTCATCACCTCATTGAGTTTATAATCGATTTTTACAACTTTATGATGAGAGTTGAGTTTTCTGTCAGTACAGTACAGTACAGTAAAGCTAACAACAACTAGCATGTTAATGTCCTGATTATCTGACAATAAAACACTTCATACTTTCAGTATTTAAGTAGCTGCTTACTATCTATCTGCACTGGGGCAGAATACATTTGGCCTCATCATCACACAAAAGCATCAGGCACAAGGTCTTTAATGGTATTTTAAAAAACATGTATGAACAAATTAAATCCACAAATGTTATACGTGTTCATTCATACTTGTGAAGAGTCTATATATCCTGCTATATTCACCCAACCACATTTCAGTATCTGTATAATCATAAATATTTTGGCTGTTCAGATCTAACTGAAAACCACGACATTATCATTATCACAAACTATTTTAAAAGCAGATCTTCTAAAAGTTTTCCAGACTAGAAACATTCCCTTTTGAGAATTTGTAGACTAACTTTACTTAAGTTGTCAGCAGAAATATGCCTTTTAGCTAGATCTTTTTCAAATTTGCATAACTATCACAAAACCATTAGACTAAGGAGCAGTTACTGGAAGAACTTACTTTATTTTCCTCCATAAATTTCACGGTGTGTTTGTAATATGATAATGACCAGACTTTCCGTTTGCTTGTACAGAAATGCTGGAGTCCAACAACCTGGAGACGTTCGAGGGTCTGCCCAACAGTTCGTCCTACCACACGTTTCTTCTGGACGAGGAGAAGGGGAGGCTGCTGGTGGGAGCCAAGGACCACATCTTCTCATTCAACCTCCTCAACATCAGCCAGGAATACACACAGGTACTGGGCGTGTGTGTTTCCCTGTGAAATGTCGTTCCTTTGGCTTAAAACTCATCTGTCTTCATGGAGAATGTTTTGAAGTATGGTTTTAACTTTCAATTTCCTCTGAATCAGGTGAATGTGATGTGTCAGTTCCAAAAAGTTATACAGTATTGTTTTTATGTTTTAATTTCACAAAATCTGGGACCCAGCTGGTCTAAAAGGAAATCCAGTCTAAACCTGAACTAGGTTTGGAAAGGAACTAAGACGGATCTAAAGGGCCAAAGGGAAACAGAACCGTATTGACCAAGGTTGTGCAGATAATCTATTGTGAATTGTTTCTCCAATTATTGCACCAGTCAGTGATGAAAGTAGTAAATCTGTAAATAAATAATATCACAAAGTCATTTTTATTATGCCTTATTTACAGCTTTAAAGGTGCACTGCATAACTATTTGGTTGAAGGACCATTACCTACTTGTTTCTATGCTTAAGTCATTGCTCTGCTTGAAATGTTCCATGGTATGACATTAAACAGCTGTAGTTTACATTTATTAAATTTCAGGTAGTTGGAGGGTTGCAGATCTGACCTGTAACTCGATCTGGTTTGGTCTCTCTGATGATAGAAAAGTTAAATACCATACAAGTGAAACATTCCAGACAAAGCAATAACATCTCCACGAAGAGAAAAGTTTGACATTTGATGGATCCTCCACCGGAAAAGTTACACAATGTACCTTTAAAACATGAGTCCCAACACATTACAAATCAGTGCTGATAAGTATAAAATAAGATTTCAAATGAACAATGTAACATTCACTGACACTTATGCTTGGTCTGAAATTTGAACAAGAGTCTAAACTAGATTCTAAACCTGACCATAGAAGAAACTGAAGAACCTAAACAGTAAAAGACGTCCCTGTACTACCACAAGCAACACACATCCCAGTTTGAGAAGCACTGATGTTAGCCAGTAGATCAGATGTCTGGGGACCGCCTTTTCTGGCTCTAAAGAAAAGTACTTCATAAATATTTCAACAAGAGCCTAGCGTGTACATGTTTTGAGCTGCCACACCTGGATAAATAATGGAGGAAAGGGAAACAAAGTGTACAACAAATCTTCTTTTTAATCTTAAGTTATTTATTTTTTATTGACCTGGTTTTGTCTGACCTGTGCTTTCGGTGTTGCAGATTCCATGGTTGGCCGCTCCGAACAGACGAGATGAATGCAAATGGGCAGGCAAAGATCTATCGGTAAGCAAAAAGTGTCCTCGCATTCTATAATTCTGTCAATAAATCCATGCGTGTGACCTTTGGTACTCAGGTACTCCACATTAGTGACAACACATACAGATAAGGTCATAGGGTCATTTCTGAGCTATCACTTTACATACAGCACAGACATTGTGAGGTTGAATTAGACTAAAAGAAATATATATAATAATGACCTTAAGTGGTGCATACAAAAAAGTCATGTCAAATATCCATACACTTTCTTTAAAGGTGCCTCATGTGACTTTTCTGGTGTAGTGTCCTTTATCTGCTTGTTTCTGTGGAGATTTAATTTTTACCCCCTGAAATTCACAGTATGGAATTAAACTCGTTTAACTCCATGGAGACGAGCAGATATCCCACTCTCATCATAAACTGGCCCACAAGTTGACAATGCAATTCAGGCTCCCACAGATGAATACCGTTGTTGTGTCCTTGGGCAAAACACCAAGTGTCTGTGTACACTGCTATATGAATGTCTTTGTGTCTGTGTAAATGAGTGCCTTGAAAGTAGAAAAGTGCTATCTGTAAATGTGACCATTTACCAAATTACAGGTCAGATTTGTGAGAGGCAAACTCAAAACTCAAAACATGCACCATATGTGCAGACCTGACCAAGCCTCGCTCAAAATCATAGAGACAGGTGTCCGAGTGCTGTATAGCAGTTGCCACAGAGACACTGGTTGAAGGATGGGTCAAATGTAGAGAATTTAATTTTCCTCCTGAGGGATCAATATAGTAAACCTTGAAGGGCCCATATTTTGCTAACACCTCTATGGAGACAAACAGGTGACGAACTCTTTTTTTTTTTTTTTTTTTTTTTTTTTAGCAGAGTAGTATACAATTGAATATTCTTGAATAAATATCATTGCTAATAAAAAGACACTATCCAGAGAGACAGTGACAATGACAAGAGATTTTCAGACTTGACACTGTTGACATATCCAATCTGTCTAAGTACAACACCAACAAACCCTAATCTCCACAGCTCAGATTAAGACCATCATTTGACCTTAATCATGGCTTGCCGTACTCTCTGAACTGCATTTGACCCATAGAGGGCACCCTGGGACCCACATGCATTCACTGGCACAACCGCTGCTGTGTTCAGATAATGAGAGTCATATTTGTCTGGGATCATGCGCATTAGTTAGGATTATGTTATTAGACTGGAAAGTTTCGGTACGGCCACAATACGGGATTCCACTGCACGGGAATGGGGACAGGAGTTTCCAGACAAGGCGTTCAGCAGACGGGCTATGGAAGCTCTTCAACAGTATTCAACCATTCAGAGAAAAGAGGATAACATAGTTTACAATGATTTTAGTGTGTGTAACACTGTGTAACTTTTCTGGTGCAGGGTCATTCAAATCTGGAGAAGTTGCCTGGAATGTTCCACAGTATGTCATTGTAAATATAATTTGATCTGGTGGCATCACCTGCTAGTCTCGATGGACATATAAACATTTAAAGAAGACATATTGTGCTTGTGTCTGCTATATAGTTATAATTTATTACAGCTGTGGATTATTATGTTAGCACATTTGAAATTGCAATATTCAGCTAAAGAGACTTAATAAAATAAACATGTCTGCTGACTTCTGTGCCATTAATGTCATCACAACAATGTGCCGAATAGCTGTCAGCATCTCTGATGGATAGCTGCAGATCTCACTAGTAAGTAGATTTTATTTTTATTTTTTCTACCAAAATGACAATGGAGCGATGCAGAATCCTGGAGGTACCACTAATTAAGAAAATAAAATTGGAGAATGAAGTAGCAGTGGGTGTATGCTGGTGATATTGAAAATGGGTGTTAATCGGCAATAAGGTATCCTGAAAATTAGTGATTAAAGATTGTTCAAACATTCACAAATCACTCCAAATACTTTGAGAAAGGTAAATGGTTAGGGGAAACAGCTATAACATGGTTAAAAGCTCTAAAAGGTTGATTTTGCATAATAGGTCTACTTTAATGAAATACTATGGAACATTCCAGGCAAAGCAATGCCATCTCCTTATAAGCAGGTAATGGACCATCCACCAGAAAAGTTACACAGTCCATCATTAAATCAACAGTGACAAGATGGTGTTGTTTTTCATGCATGGGTTCCCTCGCTGTATCACATTATATCTGGACAACTTCAAGTACATGTCCTCTTTGTGTTCCTTTTGTAAACATGAAGCATTGGTTGAATACTGTTCCTTGGGGGTGTCGTTTTAGACGTGAGGAGATTGTGCAGAAGGCGTACAGAGGAGTGTGAACCTGCATATCTCTGTTGTACGACCCATAGCCTTACGTCACGCAGCTATTTTAATCCCTCCACTGTCCAGATTAAATAACATAGCGCTTCAGGGCAAGGTTTCCCCTGCTCCCTGCACTATTTGGCTCCTTTTCATCAGCTGCTTGGAAACTGTCAATGAGACGCCCGTTTTTTCCATTACATTCAAATGCTATGTATGTATGATTTATGGTATCAGGGTATGTTGTGTACAGTTGAGTGTGCACAGTTGTAAGGCCTATTACATGGACAAAATTACACTGGTATGCCGTTACTTGTATAGGGACAGTGCACAATAGGCTGGGAATCACAGGGTCCCCATCATTCACCAGAAGATATTATCACAATATAGCAATACATATGATAATCAATATATATATCGCACATGATTTATTGCTTTTTTTAAAGAACCACAATACATTTTAGCAACAATATTTCTTTGTTAAACCATAACTTGTGCAAAGTTAATATGAACCACTAATTTTAATAATCAAAACAGTGAATATTCTTTATTATCAAGTGTATTGCATAAACAAGTTATACCATGAATGCTAATTTACACCTGTAGTTTCTGAGCGGGTTGGTGTAAATAAACACTGGAAATGCAGATGAACTATAGATACATTTACCACAAATAAATTAAACAGATATAACACAGAGTGACATCATTCATGTAACACCTATAAATATGAGCACATACATTATTACCAACACCCCTCTTTACAGTTAACAGTACGTTCCTGTCCAGCCCCTACACGACAGTTCTATATAAATATACAAAAGCATGGTATGAAACTGTACACGGCAACTTGACAAGCTTGATGCGATGAGCAATAGTTTGATTAGTGGGATCAAATATATTATGTGTTATGTGTTCTGTGTGTGCTGTTAAAACCAATATAGAAATAGAATACTTATTTCATATTGATCAATCAGAATGAGAGTCTTTGTCAGTATACCTATCGAGAATTGACACCTTTTGTTTGCACCCATTTAGTGTTTATAATAATAATAATGATGCATGGGCCATTTGCCGCATTCCATCATCTTCAAATAGTCACTCCAATACTGCTATCGCATAACGGCGCCGAAACTGAAAAATTAGCTGGACTGGATATCAGCTTCCAAATATCAGTTCAGCCAGTATGTCCTTATTGAACTTATAATATAAAACTTTAAATGGTCATAATTAGTCCAGTTTCTTTTGTTTGTCTCTGTTTGAACTTGTATTTATACAGTATAAAGCTGTTCTGTAGTTACTTGAGAGATAAATAGCAGCTACATTCAGATCAGTTTTGTCTCTGCACTGATCAGTTAATATCTGGTATCGGCAGATCCGTGAAGCCATCTGAAATGGTATCAGAACCTAAAAAGCTGGATCGAGCATTTTCATGTATACAGTAATTGAATAAGGACTTCACTGTTACATTTCCAGAAGTCTGTCAAGCTTGTTGTCTACCTATTGCAAGCCCACATCTTTTTTTTGCCTTTTTACTGAAGTGAAGATGTCATATATAGCATTTTCTTATGTCCTGTGAAACTAAACAAACAGCAAAACAGCTATCAGCCCCTGACCCAGTTTAGTGTCCTACAGCCCGCTCATGCATACAGCTTTTCTCTCTCTGAATATATGATGACATATTGGACCACGTGCGGCAGCGACACGGGGAGCCACGCCACATGTGCGCTAGCCTGTACCATAACTTCAAACCTCATTCTCCAACTGCAATGACGAAGCAAAATCCTGGACGACTCAAATCACGTCCTTTTAATCTGATTATTAGGATTGATTCCTTATTTCAGTCTTACTTGATCTGTATGGATTTTGCGGTCATTCCAACAGGGGATTACAAGATTCCAGGATGCCAGTGCAAAGAAAAGCTGTTTTTTTCCTAGGATAAACAAAAACAGATGGGATTAAATTCGAGGAAGGAAAATTCGCCAAGTGCTGTCTGGTATTACAGCCTCGGGATTGACGGGTTTGTTAAGGACATAAGAGGAATGGCACGCATCTGAAACTAGATGAAATGAAGATAGGATAATAGGCAGGAGTTTTCAGCTTTTTATTCCAAAGAAATATTTGCATTTCTGGGTACCAGCAGATACAAACCAGGTTTATGGCAGAACTGCGCTGGTCGGTTTTCAAGGTTTAATCAAATTTTATCAAAGACTTTAAATAAGATTATTATAGAGTGAAATATGTTATAATATGTTTTTTGTTTTGTTTTTTCTTTTATTAAGCAGTAAGAAAAAAAAAAAAATCCTAACTAGAGATAGACTATTACATTTGTAACTATAACTTTTTTTTGCTACTTAACTTTGTCTGGTGGTGATTGAATAACATTGTAGCATTTGACATCTTTAGGGCAACTAGAAAAATGTGCTGTACAGTGATTCTAACAGTAAAAAACTGAGATTGTGTAACTCTAGCGGCCGCTGCAATTTCAAGTACTATGTGACATCACACAGGACTGCCCTGATCACAGCCAGGTGCTTCTTACACACACCTGGCTGCAGAGGTGGAGTCTGAAGTATGTATATCTGACCAATGACACTGACCAGTTCAGCTCTATTTGAAATGTAGTCGTTAGTTTAGGTGTTTAGGTTAACTTCTCTCTTATTTATTACCTAATAAAATGCCTTCTAAATAGTGTGTTTCAGTGTAATTTGTCTCATTTATTTGCATTTATAATACAAAGGAAATCCATCCCAACCAGAAGAAAATAAAATCAGGTACAGGACCAACCTAGTACCTGAAAATATGTATAAATATTTTTTTGAACACTGCACAAAGGGATATGTTTTGGGGAAAATGATCAGAACTTCCCCAGCCTATTGGCAGAGCTTACTGTCCATCGCCTTCTCTGCATTCACAATCACTATAAACATCCACCATGAAAAAAACAAAACAAAACATCTCGATCTCTAGTCCTAACGCTTGAAATCCTAATCTTATTTATTCATTTGTTTTTCAGAGGGAGTGCTCAAACTTCATCAAGGTCCTCCAGCCATTCAACCACACACATGTTTACGCGTGTGGGACAGGAGCCTTCCACCCCGTGTGCACCTATCTGGAGGTGGGACGCAAGCCCGAGGTAAGGCATACTGTCATGTACTGTACTTAAAACTGAATAATGACTTTTATTTTTGAGCAATATGGTAGTCTAATTTGTAATCCTCATCTTATCTTGACAAGCCACACCTAAATGGATCTGCACAAAGTCACTATAGAGTGTATTAACCTTGCTTATTCAAATCTCACTACATGAAGCTTTAGCCAAAAAGTTGACTAAAATAAGAGCATTATTTTGTTTGTTTGTGTCATTTCTGTGAGTGGGCTTGCATCTCCACAAACCTGACTCTTACTTGGCCTGGAGAGGAGCTTCCTCCTGCTGGTTTCCATGGAAATTGAGTTATTTTGGCTATAATTTTCAACTGAATGAAAATCCAAATGATTTTTATCTTTTTATTTCTATGGAATCATGCATATGACGTGCCACCTCTAGAAAGTTCCATTGTGTTGCTTTAGCATGTAAGAATGACATGACTGGGTTTCCATAGCTATTTATTACAGTGCCATATTATATATCACGTAGGAATAATAGCTATTTCTACATTGAGATTACCTTCATGAGTTTTTAAGTCTGCATAAACTAAAAATGAAAAGTTAAAAGTTCAGCGTTTTTTAAAAAGAAAGTGAAAATTCTTGCACTAGTCATTTTCATATTGCATCACTTTGCTGCTGCCTCGGTTCATGCCTGACTGTTGAAAATGTCTTTAAACTAAGTCAGCCTTACAAATGTGCTTCCTACTCATTAGCCAGCTGTTTGTCCCACAGTTACACAGAGGACAGCATACTGACATTTCCTTGAACAAACCACATAACAGCCTCTCTCTCAAACCTGTCCCACCAAATACACTCAAAACCCCCACCAAAAATAATCAAAAATCTAAAGATTTATATATTCTCAAAATGTTGTTCCAGGGAAGATCACAAGCTTTTTACAATATCTGATGGGAAGTGCCTTGAAAGAGTTTAATCATGTACATTTTGGGTGTATAGATTGATGATTATCTTACATTCAAAGTTGCATTGTGTAACTTTTCTGGTGGAAGGTCCGTCAGACACTTTTCTCCACGGAGGTGCTATTGCTCTGTCTGGAATGTTTCACAGTATGACATTATTAAACGACCAAACCAGACCAAAAATGATTTTAGTGAAGGTGTATAGACTTTAAAAATACAGAGGACTGCTTCCTGTATTACCACATTACATCAAAAGGTGGAACACAGTGTTTTCTGTTTGTGTGAAGAATTCACCCACTATGCAGGATTTGTGGGTTACACATGTGTGAATGACACCAAACACAACTCCAGCTATGTTTGTGATGAGGAAACAACATTATAACAAAGATCAAAAAACAGCATAAAACAGGCCCTGTAATTAAGGTAGAATAAATAAATAAATGCCTTCTCCTCACACTTCCCTTATTTTTTCCCAGGATGGCGTGTTTCGGTTGGAGCCCCACATCGAGAACGGCCGTGGGAAGAGTCCTTATGATCCCCGGCTCACCACAGCGTCCATGCTTATTGGTAAGTATGTGTGTACAAGCCCAAATAAAAGCGTGGAATGCCTAGAAAACACCCTCAACTTCCCCTTTCATCTCTCTTTACGTAGACAGTGTTAAACATGCACTAATGACAAACCAAGGCATTCCGTAAGACTATTTAAAAGAAGAACGCAGTATTAGCAAACTCCCAACCCGTCATCGGCACCACTGTAAAAGGCTATTTTAATCTTGGGGTTCCATAGAAGGGAGTGTGAAACAGATGAGGTTCAATTACGTTTGCTTTGTGACGTTTTTGGCAAATGAAAGTGTCTTTCGGCTCAATTGCCAAGTCGTATTGTGTTATATCACGGCATTTAAACCACCAGATGGCAATTTTCCAGTCCATCACCTCGGATTTCCCCCTTTTGTTTGTAATTTGTTTTCTGACCTGGCTCTCCATCGGGCCCTTGTCCTCCCTTGCCTTTCATCGTCAACCTTAGGACAATAATATTAACACATATGTTAAAATTTATAATGTTGTTAGTAACTTTGTTAGACTTTCTGAATTTGTTGGGACTGGACCATATACAAACACACACACACACACACACACACACATATATATATATATATATATATATATATATATATATATATATATATATATATATATATGTGTATATATATATATATATATATATATGTATACATATATATATATACACACACACACACACACACACACACACACACACGCACACACACACATGCACACACACACACACACACACAATATGTTAAAATAATAATACATTAATTAAAATGAATGAATTAAAAATAAAAAATAAAATATTTTTAAATATAAAACAAAACTTTCATAACAGAATACAAAAAAACCCAGCAAGGATTCAATAGATTAAAAAGCAAACATAAATATAATGCAGTAGTTTTCAAGTTAACAGCTACCTTTTATAATTTGTGAAGGTGAATGGAGTTAAAAAACAAACAAACAAACAAACAAAAACAAAAAAAACACAGTGGAGCACTTCCTGTATTACCACATGACATTACAAGGTGGAACATGTATGAACTCCAAATATTTTTAATGAGGAAACATTATAACAGAAAATTGTGTAATATGGGCCCTTTTTAAACTCAAAACAATTGAAGACAAATACAAGCCAAAACCTCTTTTGATTAGATTTTCAATTCATTATATTGCATAGGTTTTTTGAAAAATGTGTTTAAACTAAATAATAATACATTTTAAAACCGACAGAACAAAAATATATTCACTGTCTTTGCTCAGGCTTGTATTTCATGCTATGTTTCACATCGTATTATTGTGTAGTACTCTCAGAGGACACATGCTTCACCTGCCACCACACAATCTGACAGCATTTAACACTCGCCTCTATGGGGACCTGTGTATTTTTAACCCCCGCCCCGGTGTTGTTTCTGTACAGATGGGGAGCTGTACGCAGGCACGTCAGCCGACTTCATGGGCCGCGACTTCGCCATTTTCAGGACCCTCGGGAAACATCATCCAATCAGGACGGAGCAGCATGATTCCAGGTGGTTAAATGGTAAGAACAATGTGTATTTTGTCATGCTGAATAAAGTGTGTTTCAGGGTGTCAGATGTCATCCCTAAAGTGTATTGTGGCAGGGATTTGAGTTGAATAGAATGAATGAAATGAAGAACAGTTACTTTAAATCTAAATCATTTCAAATTGTACATTTTTTTTGTTTAATTTTGACTTTGAGATACCTATCACTTTTGTTCTAGTTGGTATAAGCTAAAAAGATTTTTTATTGAGCGTGACCTATATTATCTCTAGTTTGGAGCAGGCAAATTCCATAGTTTTCATTTTGGTAACTGGATAAATATACAGGGTTTATAACCTTGTTTTAACATAAGCCTAAATAAGCCTCAGCAGTTGTGGATTTTTGTGAAATGGACATAAAAATGTCTAGCACAGATAAGTCCAAATCCTGATACACATTTAGCGAGCCAAAACTTATCTTTATTTAATTAAGATATAGCTTTCTATCAAATATTGCAGATCACCAGATGTGTTCTTTGAAATCTGAGTTTGTATGGTCTGCTATAGGCGTCTATGATGAGAACACAACATATAGATTCAATCAGATGTTGTTCCCCAATTGTCCCTTATTGTTATTTTTTAGTTGCCAAAATATCTCTACTCTCATAAATTACCTTTTGATCATTTTTATTTTTATTTTTTATCAGCTAAATATTATAATGACCAAATATAGTGAACAGAAGCAAGACTTACACTGTTTCATCTACAATAGTCAAAAGTTCGGACTCATCGTCTTATTCAATGTTTTTTACACACAGAAGACATCAAATATATAAAGCAAGATATATGGAATTATTTAGTGAAGAAAAAAAATAAAAATAAAATAAAATAAATCTAATCGACAAAGCAAAGCATGGCTAATTTGAGGATTTTGTTATATTGTTTGTTTGTTTGTTTTTTCTTTACTACATAATTCCATATATCTTATTTCATATGTGTGATGTCTTCTGTGTGTATCTAAAAAAGAGAGAAAAAAAAAAACATGGAATGAGTTGTTGAACTTTTGACTTATATGTAACTCTAATTCCTAGCATAGCTTTTAACTGCACATTCTCCAGACTGTACCCTTCCTGAGACCCCAAAAAGCTGAACTAGATACTACTAAGCACATGAATGAACAGCTTGCAGTGTTTCGGAAGCACACTACCCCTGAACCTGTTGTATGTCCGGAGTTTGCTGAGAAGATCTAGTCCCGGTTAGGGGCGTAACACGACCCAAAGCACCGTGCGACATTTGGAAGAATAGGGCACAAAGCTTCGAAATGAGCGTATCCATCCGCCGCTGGTGCCAGATCGTGTCGTCATGGCAGTGAGGGGGCAGGGATGGGAGCTGCCGGGCCCATTCACATAGGCCTTTATTTATCTAGAGCCATTCATGAAGAAAGATTGGCAGAGGACTGGCGTTCACTTGAACCAATGACAAGTTTGGTCAGAATGTGTGACAAGCCTAAAGAGCTGATTCGTTCCCCTTGTTGTTGGTGAGGAGGAGGATGAGCCATAGGAAAACATGCATGGTTTATTCTAGATAGTTTAGCAATGGGTTTATAATTTAGGTTAGGAAATGGATTAGGGTTATGGTTAGGAAAATACTTCAAGTTTGGTTTGGTTAAGTCAAGGAACAGTTTTATGATTGTCTTTCTATGATGAATTGTGACTTATTCAGTGGATTATACCTTTTGTAATAAATATAAATTATAGTTTTACATCAGTTCAGGAGCAGTTCATGAGGAAAAAGTTTAAAAATAAATTGTAAATTACAGGAAGTAGAGAGTTTGAAAATAAAGCGACGACATCACGCTAGGGAGAATTCTGTCCAAAAGTTCGGCACAATTATCACACTAGACTTTAAACATTATTTCAACAAAAGTATGTTGTTTTCTTATAATTGTAATGGTCAAACAATAATCTCTGTGTACATTAGGTACTTAAAGGTTTAGTTAGGGGTTAGGATTCTCACTTGCCTCTTCTTATTTTTTTACCACAAACTAAAACATAAAACATAAAAATAAATATCCCATGTAATAAGAGAGGGAGTGAAGTCTGTATAACATTAGTCCAAAAATGATCCCATATTCGCATAATAGCCCATAAATCCAAATAATTGTCCCATATTTGAATTGAAAATCTGATTGTTGTATTTGCGTGTGTGTTGTAGACCCTCGTTTTGTCGGAGTGTACCAGGTCCCAGAGAGCGACAATCCTGAAGACGACAAGATCTACCTGTTCTTCAGGGAGAACGCCATGGATGGGGAGTACGCCGGGAAGGCCACCTACGCACGCATCGGACAACTCTGCAAGGTAAAACTACCACACCAAGTGCATGTCAACAGAGACATGTGTTTTCTACTGAAATGAAGAAATCTGAATTTTACCTGATGTAGATATGTTCTGTATCAGTTAAATGGGGCCAAGTAAGAGCTTTATAAACATGAACAGGGTTGAACCATAAATTAAGTGTCTTGCCTCATCCCTTCTCTCACTCATGTTTGCACTCCATGTTTCCACTTTGATCTCAATCAGCATCTGGCAGTTGCTTTGCTATGGTTCTCCAACAAAATGCATTTTTAAAGTTTACATTTTTATATCTGGAATTGTGATCTTTTTTTAAATCACAAATAGTTACTTTCAATGTGTTTTCCTGTACTAGAGGAAATTAATTCCCATGTGTGCTTAGTGCCATTATGCATGCTTATTTTTAGTCCTGTGAAAGTGGCCTTTGTGGTGCAGAAACCTGAGAGAAGAAATACATGGCAGTAGCACATGTGATCCTAATGCCCAGGTTTGGCACAACTCAGCTTGGCCCCAGTTAAATTAGAGGAGGAGAGCTACTAAACCCTACTCACTGTTCAGTATATTTCTAAATTATTCATTCAGTCATTTTAATATTAGCTGAAAACAACATGTGACAATATGTTTTAAAATTTGACAGATTTTTTCCTTTATATTACCTGTAGGTTATGCATGATATTATTTGCTTTCTTACTCAAAATTTTGAAAGGATTAAACAGAACATACAGAATTATCAGGAAACATTCTTAAACCATCCACTATTTTCTTTTCACTGAATTGAAGAGTGCAAACAAATGAACAATGGATAAATATCGTGTTGTTTATAGATTGGCTTGATTAGTTAGAATGTTAAGAATCCATAGGGTCGACCTCAGACAGAGAATCTATTATGTAAAGTCTGAGTTCATTTTTGGTAGTGTGTACGTTGGACTCAACCTCAACATGAAGACAATGAATAGTACTTTTTTTGAGCAGCGTATTGTTCAAACTGTGCTAAAAATGATCAGGAACCACTACTAGAAAAAGTACATAGACCTACTCATACTACTACATCCCACTACTAGTTCTACTAAATACAACAACACTACCGGTACAACTGTGCAATTTATACTTTGCAGTGACATCATGGGGGTGTTCTACATGCCAAACACTGCCAACTAAATTTTAAAATACTCAGGGTCTGTTTACACGAAAACGCTTGCTGGTAAAAACGGCAAAATATTTTATCGGAAGTGCCATTAGTGTAGATAGAGACAGCATTTTGGGGGTTTAAAAATGCAAAAATCTGAAACCACCCTCCAGAGTGGAAAAGTTGAATACGCTCCGCCGTAGCGTTTCCGTCTACACTGCCCAAGATGCAAAACTCTGGTCAGATCTGCTCATGTCGCGTACACGTACATGTCACATACATACATTACACAGAAACATGTCAGATGAGATGCATACCCAATCGAATTCCACACACTTTTGCGTCACCGTACGCTAGCAGATATTCTCATTAAAACGCTGGTCTAAACACAAAATAAAAAGTGAAGACACGATACCACTTTTGCGTCTTCTGATCAGACCGTCATCATGTAAATGCAGACTCAGTTCTCTCTAGTATAACTGTATTAAACTAAAGCTCAAATTAAAGTCTAACTTGAGTAACAGAGCTTCAGATTGAGTGGTACCTTCAGTTAGAATCACACACCCAAGGAATGTTGCAATGTAATCAATATTACTACCTCTAAATGTCGTAATCCCTTCAATAATACTTGATGTATATGTTGACAGAATGACTTGGGAGGCCACAGGAGCCTGGTGAATAAGTGGACCACGTTTCTAAAAGCCCGCCTCATCTGCTCTGTGCCAGGGACTAACGGCATTGACACACACTTTGACGAACTGCGTGAGTAAATTCATTATTATTTTTAGATAAATATATATAAAAATAAACTTGTAGCTCAATTAAACTATAGGGGCTCTATGTCATGTGAACACGATCTACTCAACATAGCCCCTAGAAATGGCCTTAGATTTTTGTCATTTCTTTCTCCAGAGGATGTTTTTCTCATGAGCTCTAAGGATCCCAAGAGTCCAATTGTCTATGCAGTCTTCACCACCTCCAGGTACAGAACACTATGCCATAATAGCTACAATAGTGTATTTTATTTATTTTTGACTTGAGTTATAATTCATATTTTCTCTGCCCTCAGTAACATCTTTAAAGGCTCGGCGGTGTGCATGTACAGTATGGCAGACATCAGGAGGGTCTTCCTGGGTCCGTACGCTCACAGAGATGGACCCAACTACCAGTGGGTGCCTTTTCAGGGGCGTGTTCCTTACCCACGGCCTGGGACAGTAAGTCTGTTAATGATGTTTTAATAATAGTAATAACCTGAAAATATATTATATGTCATATTAATTGCCACTGCAAAGGATCATTGTCTTTGTAGTTCCCCTTGCGACTTTGAGTTTTAGACCAGGAACTTAACATGCAACAAATGATAAAGGTCCAAAGCACTATGATAGTTTTACCAATACATTTTTATCTCTGCTGTTTTTCAGTTCAAAATGTAAGAAATACAGGCATGGTGGTACAGTAGAAAGACTGTCCATCTCGTAGCAAGAAGGTCCAGATTTGACTCCCAGGTTTGCATGTTGTCCCTCTGTTTGCATAGGTGTCCTCCATGTATTTCAGCTTCCCCTACCAAGAAAAAAAAAAATCACAATAGGCCCATACTCAAGGGAGATAATCTCAGTGGGACTTGTGTGTTTAAATAAGGAATAATTAACTAAAACTTTCTCCTCAGTGTCCGAGCAAAACCTTTGGAGGATTTGACACGACAAAGGACCTTCCGGATGAGGTGGTGACTTTCGCCCGGGCCCACCCCGCCATGTTCAACCCCATCTACCCCATCAACAACCGTCCCATCATCGTCAAGACCGACGTGGACTACCAGTTCACCCAGATCGTGGTGGACAAGGTGGAGGCGGAGGACGGCCTGTATGACGTCATGTTCATAGGCACAGGTGGGATTTACGCACACACAGATTGACCAAGTGCAATGAGTAGTTTATTTAAGGATACAGTTTGAGGCTGACTGATGGAAAGGCAATATAGAGTATCATTATAATTATTAATATGATGAAGACACATTATCATCTGTTGTATGATTGACACAATACGAGATACAATGTAATCCCTCATTTGTCCAGAAGTGATCCAACGTAGAGAAGGTTTCAGCAGTAGTTGTTTCGGCCCAAATACAGAGGCCACTTTCAATTTGATGGTTCTGGTTTCAGACTCAGGGATTTATTCAACACTGAGTTGGATAAGTACCACACCCTAAGAGTCTTGATTGCTAAAACAGTATTCAGATGATCACTGAAACCTTCTCTACATTGACACCAATGCAATTTTTTTTCTTTGTTAAAAAGTTTGCAATATCAATATATATATATATTTTTTTTCAGACATAGGAACGGTCCTGAAGGTGGTGTCCATCCCCAGAGGGTCCTGGCACGATCTGGAGGAGGTCCTACTGGAGGAGATGACAGTCTTCAGAGTATGGATTCTATGCTAGCTAGAAAAACTATCCAAATGTGTAATTATTCTAACAGCCTTTCATTTTTGATTTTTTTCTTTTTACAGGAACCCACCGCCATCACTGCAATGGAGCTTTCTACTAAACAGGTACTGATTTAAGTTGTAAAGAGCCAATCATGTTCAAAGTTTTATTTAATTTCTAGAATCATCTATAGAACAGTTGTTTTTACTGATTTTAAACTGATTCACGCACTGTTAAAGGGCATAAACTATTTTCCAAGCAATTAGAACAGTCATTTGTAGCACTTGTCAAAGAGGGGTTTCCCATACATATATGTGTTATCAAATTACAAAGCAAAGGTGCCGATGTGTATTTTAAAAAGACTTTAAACACGATATAGCCAGATTTAGACAGGTACATTACCCACGGTTCAGACAGACAGGAGATCTTTAAAGTGGGGTGTTCCTCATTTAAATTGTTTCTAGGTTTAGGTTGTCTGAATCTCTCTCTGTTTTAGGAAAATTCCTGAGTAGAACAAAGAAGTGTTTGTCCATGCATTCGACACTTAATGAAGAGACATGTCAACGCAAAGACACTGACAGTTAGTTAATCACTTTAAATGTTGGGCAGAATACACAGGTAGCTTTGAGGTAGCGCTAGTGTGATGGCGTGTCAACATTCCTCTCATTTCATAAACATGAGCTTAGCCAAAAAACACATAGATATTATGAGCTCCACCCAGACTACGGATATTACAATATCAGATTTTGTCTTCAATTGAATGACGTTTGTGGGAAGAAATATTGAAATTAAACCTGTCACCATCATCTACATTTTTGCACTCAGTAGACTATCTGATGTGACCAGAATTCAAAAATGGCATGTAGGCAAACACCAAAAAGTTGGTATTGTTCTATATTTATTTTTAAAAGAATCATAACCAATACATTTTACAAATAGTTGCAAAAAATTATAAAATAAATACAATAAAATATAAAATAAAATAAATTAATTGGTACTGGTACATCAAAATAGGATCTAGTAGTCAAGTAAATACATAAACTGCAATACTTACAATGCATTGTTATTTATTTATTTATTTATTTTTTGCTCTTTAAATAGCCAATATAATAGATTTAGCTTTTTTCTTTTTCACAACATTTTATAAAAAAGTTTCCAAGTTATTTTATTGTTTTCTGATGTCTTTTTAAACATTTTACAGTACTGACAAATACTTTTATTATTACAAAAAAAGTTGAATACGCCCTTTCCTAAATCAACTAACAATACTAACTTGATTTTTTTTTTTTTCGTCCATAGCAACAGCTATATTTGGGCTCGGACATTGGTGTATCCCAGATGCCCTTACACCGCTGCGAGGTGTATGGGAAAGCCTGTGCCGAGTGCTGCCTGGCCCGGGATCCCTACTGCGCCTGGGACGGCTCTGAGTGCTCAAGATACTTCCCCATGGCCAAGAGGTACACACATGATTTTCCCCCAACATTATATACTGAATTTCTTAAAAAAAATAATAATAAATAAATAAATAACATGAGCTGAACATAGAATTCTGTAAAACATTCAAAGCAACAGGTATAATAGAACAAAACATAACAGAAACGAGCAAATATACAAAATATTCTGAATTATTTTATTTTTTATTTAATCTTTATTTATTTTTATTATTACATTTTTATTTTTATTTATTTATTTTTTTTTCATTTTTAAAAGACAATCTGGATCAGGAGTACACTGTTGGAGGACAGCCTATTGTACATGATACAATAACACAACATTAACAACGAAAGTTAAACTGATTTTTTGGGTTAAATTATATTATGTTTATTTTAAATGGTTGCAGTAGTACAAAGTTGTTCCTCACTTAAACTTTTGCCATGGTCAGTTTATAAGCACTTTTCACAACTTTAAGTGACCAAAGTTTTGTCACAACAGTGAAGTTAACACCAAATGGCATGCTAATGGTTATTTCCTGATTATCACACAATAACATGCTTTCTAATTAGATGCAGACAGTTCACAGCTCATTATTCTGACCTCAAGAGCTGCTTGTAGATACTATATTAGAACAATTTGGCTCAAATATTTGGATATATAAAATCAAGTCCAGGGTTCCAAGTGGAAATCCAGTGCACTAGTTTATGTTAAGATGGTCAGGTTTTGAATAGTCTCCCAAGTCTGCAGAGAGGTCACATTTGTAGAAGAAAACTTTAAAATCCAAGCTACTTCAAGTACTAGCATCTGAATTGATATCTGCAGGCTGAGAGGTGTTAACCACTCTGCCACTGGGCCTTCACAGACTATGGGACAACAGTGCAGACAGCGGAGATCCTTGGCGTTTCCATAGCGTTTCAATTGATGTTTATAGAAAATATCTGGAGGGCTAGACTTGACACTGGATTTGGATGTGTGGAGCTGTATTGTGCGCCGTGTTGAAATGACTGATGGGTTCCAGATTCCGCCGGCGCACACACCCTGTAATTAAAGCTGCTGCCATACTCCGTGCTACCTCCTGTTAGTTTATCTATTTGTGTTGGACCCGGACTGTAACCCAACCACAGTCACATACATGCAAGAGATGCCCATGTGTTAGCCCAGTGCAGACAAAACAATCAAGAATATTGTTAGTGTTATTCTGTTAGTCAAGCAGAAATACAATGAAATAAATAAAAAGTTGAAACGACTTGATCAAAGCCTAGCTGGATTTAGTTACAATTTTCAAGAAATCTCTTTCTCTGAGAACCAGGGTAACCAAACAGCAGGAAGACCAAAACACAAAACTTGGAAATTTGCTTTATTCTTTTAGATGATTAACAATAAATATTTCAAACGTTGCCCAAAAACTAAAAGATAACTTGTTGACAGAATGTATCCAGAATGTAACGTAATTCACATCATTCTTTAAAGGTACAGTATGTAACTTTCTGGGCGTGGCACATCACATGCATGATTCCATGAACATATTTCATATACTGTGGCTTTACATACAATTAAAATCACTCTTAAAGTACAAACATTTTTAGCTTTTTAAGTTTCCTCCATTTTTGTTGTGTTTATTCTACTAAAAAACATGCATCCTTACTCCAAGTGGGCTTGCAGCTCCACAAACCTGACTCTCATTTGGCCTGGAAGAAGGCCTCAGCTTGTTTCCATGGAAATGTTCTTTGGTTTATAATCTTCCATAGTCTGGAATAAACTCATCTATCTCCAAAGAAAATGGTCCAAAGTATGGTTTTAACTTTCTATCGCTATAGAATCATCCAGGTGACACGCCACTTCCAGAAAGTTACATATTGTACCTTTAATTAAAATTAAAATGGACTTTAAAAGGATGTTTGTGAAATCCCTCAGTTGTAGGATCCATAGCAAAGGAGAAATTCAATTCTGTCAACTGGACAGAATAGGACTTAAAAAATCAGTTCAAAGTAAGTAAGTGCTGTAGGCCTATCGAGATATGAAAAATAGTATTTGTTGTGCTGTAAAGTAACACAAAGTACAATATTACCCTTACCTACACAATTTGTTCTTAAGTTACTCCAATTTATTAGAAAAGCTATGATGATGCAAAGACAATCATGATCTTATTGTCTTGTTCTGCAGGAGGACGAGGAGGCAGGACATCAGGAATGGAGACCCGCTCACACAGTGCTCAGACCTCCAACACGACGGTAAACAGCACTTATCATCTTAATAGGTTTTACTACTCCCTGTGCCTTTATAACATGTAATTTAGCATGGACACGATTCCCCCAAGCTCAAAGCCCCCTCTCACTCTGCTGTCCAAAAGCAGGCCCCCCAGCTCCTTCTGAGAACCACTACTTTCACAACCACAAAAGAGCATCCAAGTACTAAACGCAGTCCAAGCGCTCTTCAAGTTACCACAAGAGTTTATTAGAGTTTACAAGAGTTATTTGACGATTTAATACTTGATTTATTTATTTAACACTTAAGTTGATATAGATATTATACAAATGATTCTATTGAAAATAAAAACCAGGATGAAGGATTAGAAAACACGCTCGTGGGCTGACTTAGAGAAACTGATAAACTGTGAGGTTTATATTGCTTAAAGGTGTATTGTGTAACTGTTTCTGGTGAAGGGTCTGTTCAGTGTAGATGTTATTGCTTCAGCACAGCATGGTATTAAACCTTTTTATTTTCATGGAGACCAACCCAGACCTAGTTACAGGACAGATCAGCCGAAAGGCACCCCACTCACAGTCAGAATATCTTTTTTTCTAAATATTTTTGAGCTGTAAATCCACCTGTGGAACATACTGTGGAACATTGTAGGCAGAGCAATCACATATCCATAGAAACAAGCAGGTGACGGACCCCCAACCAAAAAGTTACACAGTGCATTACTAACTGTCAGTAGTTTAACATTTAACTGGTTGCCAAGTCAGAATTCAGAAGTAGAATTTACATTTTAAAGTAGACTGCTTAATAGGGATGTAACAATAACCAAAATATCGTGATATCGCATTGTCTCTTAATAATATCATGGACTGTCACAATATATATATATTTCTTTGCTTAAATGCATGGTTTTACAGTAGCAACAGCTTATAAACATAGGGAACTACATATCCCATGATTCAGTTCAGTGCAAACAACATGAAGAAATATGTTCTTTACTTGAATTCTTGGGACTATGACGTAAATAATTCACACCAGAATCTTGTCAAGGTATTAGCCTCTCCAAAATATCACAATAAATATTGTACCATGAGATGCATATCATGATAATATCCTACAGAGAGATTTGGGTATCGTTACATCCCAACTGCGTAACTTTTCCAGTGTGGAGGAACACCATCATGGACATCTTATTGCTTTCCTCATAATGTTCCACAGTATGGTATCAACCTATTGACCTATTTACTCAGTTACAGTTATGTTTATTATTCTATACTGAGTAGGGCTGGGTATCATTAAGAAGCTGCCGGTACGATACATATCTCGATACAAAGGCCACGACACGATACATATCACAATACAGTGTACTTTCGATTCAATACGATATATTTCAAATCAGTTCAATGCGGTTCACTTAAAATAATGGCTAAGTCATGACTGTGTCTAAGTCTTTGTTAAACCACAACATATGAAACATATACATTTTAATCATCAAAACAGTGAATATGTTAAATGTGCTGCATACAAGAGTTTCCTTCCTGTAAACCAGCAACAAAACTGCAGCACTGTAACAAAATAATTTAGTAAAATATACAAAAAAACTGCTTTTGGCAATATGTCGATTAAGCAGCCCACAATATCAATACTGTATCATCACATAAACGATACGAAATATATAGATTTTTGCACACCCCAAATACTGAGTGGGTTCATCTGTCCACACATCAGGGGTCTCAGTTATAAAGAAGAAGATTAACCAATTTTTCATCGCCTGTAGCTCTGCCGATATTTTTGGGTCAATATGTGGGTCCGATTTGGATTATTTTCACCAAATTAAGTAACTGAAATTTACTACAAACTCACTCACATCCCTTTTTACCACAAACCTTCAAGAGAGCTGTATAATCACATTCGGTGCCATTATCTCTTTGCAAAGTATTAAAATAAAGCTTTCAGTATACTCTTTAGTCAGAAGTCAGCAAAAATATCACTCTGTACTGGAAATTTAAGGCCAAGAGAGTCCCATGTGTAAACTGAGTGGAGACAAAACAATCAAGAGTTTTGTTGGCATGATGCTGGTGGTCAAGCAGAAAAGAAATTAAATAAAAGCTTAAAACTACTTGGTCATAACCTGGCTGGATTTTGTTACAATTTTCAAGCAGTCTCTTTCTCAGAGAGCCAGGGTAACCAAACAATAGAAAGAGCAAAACACAAAAACGTCGGAATTTATTTTTATTTTAAGCTGATAAGCTGATACTCTAAAATGTGCAAAATATTGGCCAGACAGATCAGCCAAGTGATATATTGGTCTAGAAAATGTTATGTACATGACTTTGCACATTAAGTCAGGACTTTGAGACATGAAACAAAAGAAGATCTGTACTCATACAGAAGAGAAGTGAGCAAGGAGGTTTGTCCATATGCAAACTTTTAGTAATAATGCTCCACCAGTGTGAAAATGCAGATGTTTTTTCTGGTTTATGGTTAATATCACCTGTATTCTCCATAATGCTGAGACCTATTATCAGTGGCTTCCATACGCTGTCCACTACTTGAGATTTAAACATTTATTAATCTTAGTGTGATTCAGCAAATAGTTGAACAGGAAACAGTGAACTAGCCTCGTGTTGTTGTGTGTAAACAGGCAAAGATTTTAAGGCAAATTTGAATTTTGACATATTTAGGCCACTTAATCAAGATAATCTCTCAAGAATAAAAATCATTGACTTGAAGTGCGTAGGTTAAAGTGAAGGACACAGAGTAAATTTGTGCATATGGCAGATAGCATTCCTCGCCTTTAGTTCTGGCCCATTACCTCCAGAGCCTGCTGCTGTGGAGGCCCTGCCAAATCTGCCTATGATTAATAACTTCCATCCATTTAGTGTGATGGAAATGTCAACGTTTTTGAACAGGAGAACTCCAAGTCAAGCTGAGGTTTTTATTTTAATACTGAATATGAACTTGCTTATGTACTATGCTGGAATTTGTAGAAAGTTTAAAAAGGCGCTGGACATGAAGTGATGATTTGCACTGGTCCAAACATATTCCTCACTCTTTAGGTATTCCGAGCAACTTAATTTCATGGGAAAACACATGGGAAAAAGTGATGATTGCATGATTTGCAGTAGTCTAAAGTTACTTAACTAAACCTTACCTGACGCATTCTAGGCATCCTGTTTACTTTCAGAGTCCAGAGTGGAGTTTAACAGTCTATTCGAGTGTCCATTCCATTTTTTTTTGCCGTCATTTATACGTACATGTTTAGATGAATGGGCGACTTGAACTTGCGCCACAGCAAACAACAGTCGGCGCTTATACAATGGCGGTTCCCAAACATCTGGTAGTAAGCCAAATGTGGATTGCAAAAGATTGTAGTCACCAGAAATGTCAAACCGAAATAGAAATTGGCCAAGAAATCTCTAAAAGAAAGCCGCAAAGTTGGGCCACAATTGCTTTGCATTTAGGCCTCATAAAACTGTTTTGTATAATGTGGCTCTGTGGATCCATTCTCACAGTTCAGAGAAGTCGACACTGGCACAAGATCATTCCAACAACATTCTTATTTCTCGAGTTATATTGGTGTTTGTTTTCTAAAAAGCTAAAGCTAAAATATGAATAATAAGCATATCTGTAGATCATACTGAGGCACTGCAAAGAAACTAAAAACATAGGAAAGTGATGTTTTCAGTAACAGTACCTTTGTTAAACTTTTGAAATTGTGGTAACCTACCATAACACTGTTGCACATTTAAAATCACGATATTCATCTAAAACAACTTCATAAAAGAAACAAGTACACTGATTTCCACATTAGAAAAATGGAATACCTAGTGGGAGCTGATGTTGCAGATTTTTATTTATTTTCATTTGTCTCAAAATGATTACACGTCGCTGCCAAATCCTACATGTATCACTGATTAACAAAATAAAGTTGGAGCAGTGGCCAACTTATTCACTCCAAATACAACTTTGGGTGAGTAAGTGTTGAGGGGAAACAATTATAGCATGGTTAAAAGCTTTAAACAAATAAATCTGGATAGTACATCTGCATATGCAAGTTAAACAGAGATAAGACTCTTCTGACTGTTAACTTTTTTGAATACATAGGCTATGTCACTAATGTGTGTGTCATGTTGTGTACGCAGAGGAGCTGAACGGGCTGACCACGCTGCAGGATAAGACGGTGTACGGGGTGGAGAACAGCAGCACCTTCCTGGAGTGTAGCCCCAAGTCCCAGAGAGCCCGCACCCACTGGCAGTACCAGCGCTCCGGGGACCAGCGCAGGGAGGAGGTGGGACCACAAAGCACATACTAGGAGCTATTTGTGGAATTCAGGAGATGGATATTTTGCTACTTTTGTTACTTCAATTATCTGGAATTTTGAACTGTATTACCATTTTTTTCTTTTTGTTGTTGTAATGTGTGTAAAATTTATCTGGATTTTACACAAATTCTTAATGTTTAAATTCCCTGTACCAATTTCCCCATGTATTTAAACAAAATGTTCCTTGCTCCACTACAGATATACTGTATAAGCAGCTCCTGAGGTCACAATATGTCAACGGCATGGTTCCCATAATTAGGAAGTGCACTGTTAACATGCTAGTTATTGTTAGTTTTACTGTGACAGTGAAACGCCACTCTACTCTCTAATTATTCTCCATGTTGGTTTTATAAGTGCTTTTCACAACTTTCAAAGACAAGAGTGGAGTTTATGACTAGCATGCTAACCATACTCTTCCTAATTTTTGGACAGTAAAACACTATAATTAGATGCGGACAGTGCAGCAGACTTATTTTGACCTCAACAGCTGCTTATACCATATATATGTACTGGGGCAAGAAAATGTTTGCTCAAATGGATGGAAAATATTCAGGTACAGGCCCTTTAAAGTTTGAATTTGGATATGTTTCTGATATGTGTTTTTGAATCTTATTTTATTTACATATTATGCTATCGCTACACATCACAAACATACTTGGAGTTGGAGTTGGGGTTTCATCCATACACATTTAACACACAGACATTGAACACAAGAAGTGCTCCACTATTGTTTTTAAAGTCTACCATTTCTAGAATAATTTAGATAATTTAATCTCAGGAACCGCCAATCTCTACTAAACTAAATTTAAAATATAGCTGTTAACTTGAAAATTATCGCTTCATGACATCAGAAGGTGGAACAGAGCATTTTGAGCTTTGGAGATGTAGACAGGTTAATAATAAAGGATTACTCAACCATGTGTGAATGAAACAAAACACAACTCCAGGTATGTCTTTGAAGAGGTAACGTAATATATGACCTTTAATGTTTAGATAGATAGAGATATGTACACCGTATTCATATTTATGGTCTTTACTATTTACCAGATAATAACCAAATATGTAAAAATTCTATATTTTCATTCTTAGGTCAAATCCGAGGATCGCTTCATCCGCACAGACCAGGGCTTGCTGATCCGCACTCTCTCCAAGTCAGACTCTGGAGTGTACATCTGTCAGGCTGTGGAGCACGGCTTCATGCAAACGCTGCTAAAGGTCACCCTGGAGGTCATCGGCACGGAGCGGCTGGACAACCTCCTCCAGCGTGACGGAGAGGGGGCCGCAGCCAACGCCTACGCCCCACCCCAGGAGACGCCCAATCAGAAGCTGTGGTACCGCGACTTCCTGTCACTGGTCAACCACCCCACTTTGCACAGCGTCGATGAGTTTTGCGAGCAGATCTGGAAGCGTGAGAGGAAGCACAGAAAACAGAAAGCGCACATGGTTCAGGCTCAGCAGCAGCAGCAGCAGCAGCAGGCAAAGACAATACTGAGTCCAAGCGTTCACGCGCATAGTCAAATTCACGCGCCCAGTTTGGCTGCGAAATGGAAGCATCTTCAAGAAAGGCAGAAGGGTCGGAATCGGAGAACCCACGATATACAAAGAGCTCCACGTAGTATCGACTGACTGGACTTGGGAGTAACTGAAATCCTAACCAGATGATGAGACTGGAAAATAGACAATGTTAACAGCTCTGACTTTTACGGACGGCTGCTGAAAAGTGGACACTGGATGACACAATTATTTGCAGTAGTGTAAGGATTTAATATGAACATTTTCAAAGTGGTCGGGGAACTAGAGAAACACTAGCTGCTTTGACACACTGCTTTGTGGTATGTTGTGAATTTTCTGATAGGCTGCAGCAAATGATACACTTTTTTGTCAAGAAAGTCAAAATATGATCAAGATTAAATAAGTAAATATTAAAGGTACACTATGTAACTTTTAAGGTCTCGATGGAGATGCTATTCCTTTGCATGGAACGTTCCATAATAGAGCATTTGACATATATGACTTGTATTTATTCATTTGCCAGAGAACCTAACCAGGCTTGCTTTTCCTTATATCAAACCATTAACTCCATTGTGATAACCAAGTTTATTTGCATACTGTGGAATAATCAAGGCAAAACAGTAATATCTCCATGGAGTCAAGCAGGTGGCGGACTCTCCATCAGAAAAGTTACACAGTGAACCTTTAAACAATAATGGTGCGTTATGCAGTTTTAACACACTGTGCATGTTCCTCTGTGAAGTGCTCTAAAACTAGGGTGACCATATTTCTGTTTGTGAAAACCCGGGCACCTTACGACATTAAGCTACTCTCACCTCGCAAACTGTGCACATGGCCTCCCACTTGTCCCAACCGGGATGGAAAACGGGGAATTTCTTGCCCAAGTTATCGTTAAATGCGCATTTGTGCCTCGGTATGTTGCAGACTGACCGACTGTTTGTGTCTGTTCGCTCCCTCTGAGTTACAGAGAGCTACGAGAGCCACTCAATTTAATGGCCCAATAAAAGATAATGAAAACCCAGACATCACTTTATGAAAAAAACCCCGGACGCCCAGGACAGGACGCAAAAAACTGACATGTACGGGGGAAAAACGGACATTTGGTCACCCTAGCTAAAACTTCACAGCAGTACTAAAATTTTCACTGATCCTGTTATAAAATGAAAATAATGAGCAGGACGACAACAGAATCTTGTATAAGGACTAATTCAGTGCTAAAATGGCTAACACATGGAGCCCATCACATATAATAGCAATAGTTTTCTTGTCCCAGGCCCCACATTTCTGTCACTGGGCCTGCATAATAGCATTGTGTTATGGTTAAAAATGAGCAAGTTAGCGATACACACAAAAAAAGCATTGAAAGTTCACATTACCACAAAAAGTAGCATAAGAGTAACTAGTGTCACCAGCGCACACTGTACATGGACTACATACTGAAAAGTGTCTGTGTCCTCCATGCATGCTAACTAGGTAGGTATCCCTTATTAGCCACTCAGCAGATACCTACAAATACTAGTCGTTTAATAGTTCTGTGGGAAAAATAAACGGACTGCAGTGGTGTTACAAGCACAAAATAAGCTATTGAGAGCACAGGAGAGGTACGAGGAGGTCAATGCCCAGGAACTGCAAGAGAACTGGGAGCAGCGGTCATCAGGGCTCAACATTAACTAACTCAATGTAGGCTAGTAGCATATAGCCGCGTTGCTCATAAGACTATTTACAGACTTTTTCAATTTAATATAATGTCCGCAAAAACTAAAGCATACGTCTAAATCTTTGTGAAAGGAATTGCCAAAATAAAATACTATTCTATGTGAGAAGAACAATTGAGACGTTACTAGCGAAGCTGCTAAACGGCTAGCATCAAATATATGACATAAGATATATATGGAATTATGTAGCAAAGAAAAAAGGTAATAATAAATAATTTTAAATATATTTTATAACAAAATCCTTAAATTAGCCACTTTTTGCTTTGTTGAAAAATATTTGTCAAATTATTAAAACTTTTTTTTTTTTTTTTTTTTTTTTACTAAATAATTCCATATATCTTGCATCGTTTATCAAATGTAGAAAGTAGTAAATATACAAAAAAAAAAAAAAAAAAAAAAAAAACATTGAATGAGAGGGTGAGTCGAAACTTTTAATTGGCAGTGTATATTATTGGAAAACAAATAAAATGAACAAACGCCCTTCCTGCATTACTAACGATTACTAGTCACAAGGTGGAACTAACCATTATTAGGGTGTAGCCAAAATGTGCAAGATTATACAAACTATTAAAAACAAAAGACAACTATAGGGATGTTGTCATTTAGGAATAAACTTGATGAACTTCAATTTAATAACTTACATAAGAGTTACATAGTGCACCTTTAAATAATGTTTGCCATATTAAACAGCATGTAAATAGTTAATGCTGAGCTCTGACTGTCACTATATGTTTAAATATGTGTAAAAGTGTAGCTGAAATGTAAATATTGTACTCAAACTAAAAGGGAATAGCTTGCAGATGTCTTTGTTGCATTTTGTTCTCTATAGTAATTTATTTATGAAAAGCAGTCGTGAACAGGGATATTGTGAACTATAGTCTGTCCTCATGCCAAGATTCATAATATTTTATAATACTATGTTTCGAGGCTCATAAAAGTTACTCCCATGTCAGCAATTTTAAAAGCAACTGTCACTGGGATGTGTGCCTGCCAGATATGTGTCATGTTCCGTTTCGTACACAGCCTGTTTTACTTGTATTTATTGACATTATATATTATAAAGATGGTTCAAAACACGCAGTATAATATTTGGGTTAAAGGGATGATCAAGCATCTTGGTTTGCAGAAAATGTACATTTAAAGATTGGAGAAGAAGACACAAGCAATAATGGTTGGTAACTGTTAGTGTAACCTGGGTTCTCTGAGTGTAATTAACTTCCAATACAAAATTTGTGGTTATAATGTATAATTTAACTCATTTGAAATAAGACATGGGTTAATAAATTAAGTATCCCTCACTGTACACCTTGCCATTATGTCCATGGGCAATACACTTCCTCCTATATTGAACTGGTTCCTTTATGCAAATTTTCAACAGTAGCCTACATAAAAATGAACAAAGACAAAACTTGAAGTACTTGTGTCTTCTTCTCCAACACTGAACACAATTAAATGTACAGTTAAGTTTATGAATTTTGAGTGGTTTTTGAAATATACTGACAAGTACAAGTGGCCATAGACTGTCAGTGGACATAACTAGCCCACTAGTTGGCGCTTTTCTAATAGGAAGTGAGCATGAATGCGATTTGGCTCCTTCGACTCTTGGCTCCAATTCACTTTCAACAAAAAAAATGTCGCAACGCTCTCCTTAATTGCTGCTGTCATATTTGTCATTTTGATTATAAAATGGTCATATTAACATGCTCTACATGACCTATCTGTGGATTTATTTAGCTACTTCTTCCATAAAGTCAAGATATGCATTTATAATAGACCAATGAGGCGCCTTTTCTCCCCAAAGATCGCTGCTAGCATCAGTCACAAGTTTGATTGACATTGCCGATTTATGGACGAAAGAGCGAAATAAATCCAAGATCATCTAGAGCGGGTTAATGCAAACATTTTAAGACCAAAATGACAAGGCTCACAGCAGCGTTTATAGGAAGGGCTGTTACAGTCAACACCCTTGATCCTGAATAGCACTACAATTGGTCACTATTATACACACGCTTGGATTTCCAAATATGGATCTTTCCTCCAAATTAGCCATTATAGCTGCTATCCTCGACTAGCTTTATTTGGCTGGAGCTGAACACTATGGATGACATCACACTCAACTTCTTTATACAGTCTATGGTACTGACATATCCCAGACAAGACCAATGAAATATTCCACTGGAAACTGCAACCTATATATGCATCATTCTCTACTCATAATAAGACATAATCAACTTTAATATGGTACCCATCTTCATGTATTTTATGACACTTCTGGATATACCGGTGTACTAAAATGCACAACCCTGGAATGTAGCTGTGAACTATTTAAAATATTGTATATCTTTAGTTCTATGGGGCTCATAATACCTGGTGTAAATACAACTATTATGTTCTATGTTGGATACTGTGTAGTGCATGTGGATGTACGTGTTATGACATTGTAGTCTGATTTATGTTGTTATAGAAAAATGAAAAGATGTACATATTGATGCAGTTAGTGAGAAATTATATGATTCTGTCCAGATATGAGGTCTGGTCTGGGATTCAAAATGGAGGACTTGGGACACCAAAATTAAGAGGACGATTTTGTGCAACCAACTTCATCAAAGGACTCAATATCAGAGAGTGAAGCTGGATACTGGACATTGTACTGCAAGAGGAGTGGGGTCGGGGCATGTTGCTGATATGATGTACTCTACTGATCTATTAAATGTCTTCATAAGTACCTGACTCAATTGTATTTTATGTAAACTTAAATAAGATATTATAGGGTTGTCTTTATTGGGGACATTTTAAGGCACTGTAACTTCAAAACATGACTACAAAAACAGAACAAATTCATTTGAAACCATTTGTAGTGGTCCAAAGTTGTTCCTCACTTACATTATGCAATCCAAGCATCCTTCACCATGGCGAGTTTATAAGTGTTTTGCTGTCACTCATTTTCGGACATTAATACTCTTTATAAATGGTTACAGACAGCATGCAGCAGACTTATTTTGGCCTAAAGAGCTGCTTATACAATATCTGTGTTGGGGCAAGAACAATTGCTCAGATGCATGAGAACAAAATCAGGTATATGGCCTTTAAATTGCAATATTGAAACAACAGAAACACAAAAACAAATATGGCTGCTTAAAAGAGAAAAATAAAGTGTGCTGAAAAATATTGTGAAGGTCTGCAGAGTGAAAGTCTAAACTCTAAACTGATGTGAGAGAGGTTTGATGTTGTTCTAAATGGTAGATGACCAATGAACTTGTCTATTTCTCATGTGAATCATAAAAGAGAACCAGTCGTGACCACATGCCATATTTGAGGCTCATATTGAATGCTCACATTATTATATTTCATTTAATTTAAGAAAAATTAAACGTCCCTTGTCTACTCCATTAGATGAGTCAGGGATGAGGTCTGAGCTGAATTCTAAGATCTAAGAAATGTGTTTCACTGCTGCTCTCTGATGGCTCTAATACGACATTACACACAAAATTGATTTTATTTAGAGAAGGACGGTACATATTCATAAACACATGTAAGTATTTAAGTACACATGTAAGATTTGTGCTGATTGTCAACTTGATGGTGCCACATCGATTTGCAATTCACATTTCATTCATTTCTATCAAAGTACTGGAGGTCATCCAAATAATTACAATGCAATATATATATATATATATATATATATATATATACACACAATATACTAAGTCAGGGGTCTCCAACCTGTAGCTGGAAAGCTAGCAGTAGCTCTCCACCCTCTTCCAAGTAGCTTGCCAAAGGATTTCTGAATTACATGTATTGTTTTACATGTATTGAATAACTAAAACTTGATTAATTAAATGCATATTATTATTTAAATGTATAATTTTGATGCCTGACTTTGTGTACTCATAAATAAATAATGGTTTATGTTGTTTTGTACCCCATCTAAGTTTTGCTATGGCTCTTATGTATACTTTATTTCTTGCAATCACTAAAATGAGTAGTTCTATGGAATTTTTATCTAGTAAAGGTAGCTCACGCAAGGAAATGTGTTCAGGACCCCTGTTTTACAGACATCTAACTGAACCCAAAGGCTTGCCCTCTTACAATCGTCCCAGTTTCTTGCGGGCACTAAAATGATAAGCTCTTTGGCATTTTTGTTTTGTAAAAAATAGCTCACAGAAGGAAAATGGTTGGAGACCCCTGTATTAAGTTTACTATTAACACAATTAGTAGATAAATTCTAGTAATGTGTATGCTTCAAACTAAATAAGACAAGCAGAGATGGGAGAAAGTTACTTACGGTTAAGGTAAGTTATGCTTACATACATATTCTAGATTTACTTACCTTCCATCCAGTGTTGGGGAGCAACTAAACACATGTATCTATTATACATTATTCAGAACTGTTTTATTTTATTTCTCTATTCTATTATTCATTTTTCATAGCTCAAATCCCCTAATGAACAATTCTACTTGTGCATACCCAGTTTTCAATAGAGCCAAGTGAAAGGACTATTACCACATCCACAGAGCATTGCTGCCCTCTGCTGGCTGAAGGTATCTTGTGTTGGTAAATGCAGCTGAGCAGAGGTGGAGGAGAGGCCATCCATACAGGGGCACACAGCAGCACTGACAGAATGGAAAAACTGACACGAGCCACAGAGCAGGACCTTTCCTGCTGTTTTCACTCAAACACAGGCACAAGGAAATGTTTGTACTCTACTTGAAATGCATCCAACACTATATGTGTACACGGCAGTCCAATGTTTGTTAATGCATTTCTTCCTGGAAAGTTGCCATTGGGGAAAATAAAGTTGTATGAAATTAAATAAAATGCAAACTGACTATTTTCCTTTTCATGTTGGAAAACTGAAAACAGCTCAATAAAAAGTACCTACACAAACATCCATGTCTATATAGGTCTGCTTTCACTGAATACTACATATTACTTAGAACTCAGGTGATGGTTCACACCTTAGGGTAATTCAGTGGGCTTGACTAATAATGGTAAGGGGTGTTCATTTCAGTGTCTTTGGAGATGGGTAGTAATCATTTACGTTTTACTAACTTGGTATATTTTTGAAAAGAAAAAAAAAACCTTTTAAGTTTTCTTTAGTCCATATTTCTTGTTCAAGTAATATTATTTTGAACTAGACCTGTTAAAGACATGTTGTGCTTTTGTATGTCATATAGTTATAATATGACACCCATGACCCATTATGTTGTATTTCAGTTATTTTAGCTCATGACATTATCTAAAACTTAACAAAAGAAACAAATTCACTGACTTCCAGGCTGGTAAACTACAGAGCCCAATGGAAACCAATTCCTGTAAACGTCATCCCAACAAAGCCCCTCCTATAGACAGTTGCAAATCAATCTTGTGAATATTATAGCAATTTATTTATTCTTTCATTTGTGAAATTTTGATTACGCAACGCTGCCAAATCCTACATGTTTCACTGATTACAAAAATAAAATTGGAGAACAAAGTACAGAGCAGAGGGTGTGTACGAAGGGATGGTGAAAATGTGGAACTATCAGAGAAATGATGTGTTGAATAATAATGCATTTGTAACCAGGGAGAGGCTATGGTCCCCAACTAACATAAATAAGTCTGGCATAAGTCTGGCAAAACTATGGATGACGGCAGCATAGAGTGATAATGTAAAAAATATATTTAGACAATCATGTTGGAAGGCTATTCTTTCTTTTGTAGCATTTACATTTTAAGGTTTGACACAGAAATAAAATCAACTGACAGCACACACCAAATTGGGACTGAAATATAGAGTCTTTACTACCGTTAATCAAACTAAAAAGTTAAAACCTATATAACTGTAAACCCAAAGTGCTGGTGATGTGCAAATTTGAAATATAAAGCGCTGTAGTTGGTTTTTAATGTTTAAAGCAGGGGTCATCACACTAAGGCCGACTGCTGCCCACCACGCCCCTTTGACCGGCCGCCCCAGCCCATCTGCTCCCCATCACTTGAACTGGCCCTATGAGATAATCCTCAAAAATTGTCATGGCCTATGTTTTTTAGAGAAATAATAACACATCTGCATCTTGTATTTTGTTGATTTTTTTCAATTAAACATGTATATTTACATGAAGTATTTATATTTATATTTAATTAAAGATATGATGTATTTACATTTGCGTCACCTGACAAGCTCGAGATCACACAGTGACAGTCAACATACGCGCAGAGTTCTGTAGTGCAGTTAAAGACAACAAAATGGGGAGTGTTAAAGTACAGAAAGTTGACAGAGAGTGCCGAGTTTTCAAAGAACAGGGCAAGACCGATAATTTTTTTGTTCAGTGCAGGACTGTGAATTTGTTTGACATGTAAAGAAAGTGTGGCGGTTTTCAGAGAATATAATCTACATTGTCACTACGAAACCTGCCACAAAGAGCATGCTAGCTTGCAAGAGCAAACAAGAGAAGATAGGAATCGATGGATCAAAGGTTGACTGGCTGCTCAACAGCATGTATTGCTTCGTCAGCCAACCGACCCTGGCCCCCATCACAGTCAGGAGCGATAATGTGGCCCCCAGAGAAAAAAGTTTGGTGACCCCAGTTTGGTATAAAGTGTTCAAGTGTAACTAGATTAAAGTGCGCTGAGTTTTAGATGTTTAAAGTGCAGTGTGCTAGGAATCTGCCTGGTCTGAAGAGCTTTGTGCTACCCTTGAAACAGCTATCCAGCCTTGCACTAACCCTCTAAAGTCATAAATAAGCCGTCACCTGGCTCCTTTAACTTCTTTCACCCAAACAAACATTACAATCAAACATTATTTACACTTTACATGAGAAAAAAAAATCGCCAAACTAGAAACCTACTTACTTGCACCGCACCACCGTTAACCAAACAACAACCCTGAACGGACAGACGGGCGTTTCTCTTTAGAATCAGTGTGCGTTTACTGAGGCACAAGGTTGGACATCACATTACTATTATTACAAATTTGTTCCCATTATTGGCCCTCGCCCCTAACTTTGGGCGAGGGGTATTGTTTTCGCTCGGTTTCTTTATTATTATTCCCTTTTCCGACCAAACGATCGCATTTTTGACCCCCTGAACATCGACGAAAAGTCCCCAAACCGGGTCCAGATCGATCGGCCCGGCGAAAAATTTGATAAAATGGACATCGTGACAATGACCAAAGTGACCCGACTCAACAGCGCCACCTAGAATTGGACCCCTATGGGAGTAGGGACATGCAAAGTTTGTCGCAGGGAAACGAAATTCGGAACAGTGATAGAGAACAATGAGACAAGACAAAAGATGAATTGGAGCGTGACCCTATGATGAACAGGAAGTCGGCCATATTGGATCAAAAATTCGGCGCCGTTTTGACTTGAACAGGAAGTCGGCCATATTGGATCAAAAATTCGGCGCCGTTTTGACTTGGGGGTCTACAAAATGATTCAAGTCCCCGGGGTTTTGTCCAAATGAGCTCAAATTTGACATGTCACATCTACAGACATGAACTCACAGAAGTTACCCTTTTTTTTTTGATACGCCTTACGGTTCGCCCGTAGCACGCCGGCGAATAACGCCTTCATTTCCTGTTTTTTCGGTGACCTGTCACGGCCACAGGCATTGGTCCTAGAGAGCTCAAATTCAAATCACAATTGCGTGATCCAGGTCTGAATGTGATGAAATATGAAATTTAATAAAAGTGAACTCTATAGCGCATCCTAGCATAGACATGAAACATCAACATTATCGGATTAGTACCAAATTCGGAAATTAAATTCTATGCGTGATGACAAGCAAAAAAGTCTATTACGGACATGATGCATTTTTCCACGCATTGGCCAGCAGGGGCGCAAAGACTCCCCCAAAAAAATATTTAAAAAAGTTATTACACCCACAGGCTTAGTCCCATCATGCTGAAATTTGAATCACTAATGCCTGATTTCGACCTGATTATAATACACTATAAAACATATGAACTGTGAACTCTATAGCGCCCCCTAGCATAGACATGAAACGTCAACATTATCGGATTTGTACCAAATTCAGAAATTAAATTCTATGCATGATGACAAGCAAAAAAGTCTATTACGGACATGATGCATTTTTCACGGTTTGCCAGTAGGGGCGCAAAGAATCCCCCAAAAAATATTTATAAAATGATTACAGGGACATGCTTAGTTCGATTGTGCTGAAATTTGAATCTCTAATGCGGGATATTGGTCTGAATATAATAAACTATAAAACATATGAAAAGTGAACAGTATAGCGCCCCCTACCAGACCAAAGCGTCAAAGCGTCCACTTTCTATGTAAAGTCTATGTGGACGCGCGACTAGAGCGTCCTGCGTTTTTGCGGCGCGTTTTCGGCGTCAGCGCGGCGCGAATCCGGCGTCGACGCGGCGCGTCTTGAGCGTTTTGGCGTCAGCGGCCAAGACGCGCGTCCAAAGCGTCAGTCCAGGACTGTGTGGTCGGGTTGTGTGTGAGTCTGACCTCGGCGCAGCTTCCTTGTCTCTGTCCACGCGTCACGATCAGGTTCGTCGCCACAAAGAACGAGTTTTTATCCTGAAACAAAAAGAAAAGAAAAAAATATATTAAAGAGGAAATATGACACTTGTACGTGGCAGTGTAACTGTAACTGTAACGTCACATATTTAGATGTGAGAGATCACTAGATGACTCAAACAAACATTCAAACATTAGAACATTAGAACAGAGAAGGTTCCAGATCAGCCCCTGTTTAAGGAGATGGAGGTGTTAGAGATGGAGGAGGTGGACATGGAGGAGAAGGAGGTGGAGGAGGTGGAGGTGGAGATGGAGGAGGTGGAGGAGGTGGAGGAGGTGGAGGTGGAGGGGAGGAGGTTGGAGGAGGTGGAGGAGATGGTGGAGGAGATGGGAGAGATGGTGGAGGAGATGGAGCAGGAGCAGGTGGAGGTGGTGCTGGAGGAGGAGATGGTGGAGGAGGAGGTGATGGTGGTGGAGATGAAGATGAAGGTGGAGGTGGAGATGGAGGAGGTGGAGAAGGTGGAGGAGGTGAAGGAGAAGGAGGTGGAGGAGATGGTAGAGGAGATGGAGCAAGAGATGGAGCAGGAGATGGAGCAGGGATGGAGGTGGTGCTGGAGGAGATGGTGGAGGAGGAGGTGATGGTGGTGGAGATGAAGATGAAGGTGGAGGAGGAGGTGATGGTGAGAGGTGGAGGTGGAGAAGGAGAGTGGAGGTGGTGGAGATGAAGTGGAGAGATGGAGGAGATGGAGGTGGAGGAGGTGGAGGAGGTGGGAGCAGGAGGTGGAGTTGGAGGAGGTGGAGATGGTGGAGGAGATGGTAGAGGAGATGGTGGAGGAGATGGAGCAGGAGATGGAGCAGGAGCAGGTGGAGGTGGTGCTGGAGGAGGAGATGGTGGAGGAGGAGGTGATGGTGGTGGAGATGAAGATGAAGGTGGAGGTGGAGATGGAGGAGGTAGAGAAGGTGGAGGAGGTGAAGGAGAAGGAGGTGGAGTTGGAGGAGGTGGAGGAGATGGTGAGATGGTAGAGGAGATGGTGGAGGAGATGGAGCAGGAGATGGAGCAGGAGCAGGTGGAGGTGGTGCTGGAGGAGGAGATGGTGGAGGAGGAGGTGATGGTGGTGGAGATGAAGATGAAGGTGGTGGAGATGGAGGAGGTGGAGAAGGTGGAGGAGGTGAAGGAGAAGGAGGTGGAGGAGATGGTAGAGGAGATGGAGCAGAGGAGGAGAGAGATGGAGCAGGCAGGTGGAGGTGGTGCTGGAGGAGGAGATGGTGGAGGAGGAGGTGATGGTGGTGGAGATGAAGATGAAGGTGGAGGAGGAGGTGATGGTGGAAGAGGTGGAGGTGGAGAAGGAGGAGATGGAGCAGGTGGAGGTGGTGCTGGAGGAGGAGATGGTGGAGGAGAAGGAGGTGAAGGTGGTGGAGATGAAGATGGAGGAGATGGAGATGGCATAGATGGAGGTGGAGGTCCGGACCTGGGAGGGGGGGCTGTTTGAATGTTTGTTTGAGTCATCTAGTGATCTCTCACATCTAATATGACACTGACACACAGAGTCCACATGTCCCCGTGTCCCCGAGACTGTGTCCCCCTGTCCCCAAACATTTATACAAACTACTGATCTGACCCAGATTATACAAGAAATGTTGATCTGAACCAGGACTAAACCAGGACTAAACCAGGACTAAACCAGGACGAAACCAGGACGAAAACCAGGACGAAAACCAGGACGAAAACCAGGACGAAAACCAGGACTAAACCAGATCTAAACCATGTCTAAACCAGGTCTAAACGAGCACTAAACCAGGACTAAATCAGGACTAAACTGGGACTAAACTAGGACTAAACCAGGACTAAACTATGACTAAACCAGGACTAAACCAGGTCTATTTCAGTTCTAAACCAGGACTAAACCAGGACTACATCGGGTCTATTTCACTTCTAAACCAGGTGTAATCCAGAGGAGTAAAACCTGCACGTGAGCTCTGCAGCGGGGGGAGACGGAGCTCTGCAGCGGGGGGAGCGGGAGAGCGGGGCAGATGTGCGGGGGCAGATGCGCGGGGGCAGATGCGCGGGGGCAGAGGACTCGGTTTACGCCCAAACGGGACAGAACTGGACACTTTACCACGATAAAAAAAGATAAATAAAAAAGACAAGCACGTGCGTAAAATTTGTCTCATTTGTACAAATTTACTGGAAACGAAACCAGAAAGTCACAGTCAGTGGCTCCAGTGCGACTTTTTTATAGACCGATAATATTTAATCAATATTTAATAGTAAATAGATAATATAAAAAGTAATAATAAAGATGAGATCTGCTCAAATGAATCTTAAAATACAGATTTGTGATGTAATACAGTGAGTTTTTGGCTAAAGTGACCAGTCCCAGTTTTATTTATTTATTTGCACATTAATCAACATCAAAACAATGTAAATGTGAGTTCGCTGATAAGAGCTCATTTGCATCAAAAAGGCATCCTAAAAGAAAATACACTTAAAAGTTATACATCAAAAATTATACTAATGTACAATAAGATTGCAAAAATAGTGTAAAAGTTTTAGTTTTAGTGTTCACACATTTGTATTTTTGAGCCTGTGTCTCCAGATTTATACAAAACCACTGATTTGTCCAAGTTTTATACAAGAAATGTCCCTATTTTGAACCAATTTAATATTTGTCAACAGTAAAGAGAGACATAAACTGACATTTGTTTGGGTAAAATACAGAAAATCTGCTTCAAAACGACCAAAACACAAAGAAAATGTGACAGTACTGACTCACATGTTCGAGTCCAGAATATTTTTTTTTAAATTCTGCACTCGAGTCACAATTTTCTTCTCACAAACCGAGTGTCCCAGTTTTTGATTTTGGAATCCTGGTCACTCCAAGTGTGACTCAAACACACCGATCTGTGGTTTCTCTGCACAAGTCGAAATCAGAATAAATGAGAGTAAATGTGAAGAATAGTCTGGTCTGTGCTGGAGTCGTGGGTCGAGACACAAACTGAATTCCTCCCAGACAAAGACTCAGTGTTCAGTCTGAGCGAAGGAACATCTGCCTCTGTCACTCACGCCCCACACGCCAACAGGAGGCGCTCTCGGGACACTAGGGGTCCGTGGGGGGCGCTCTCGGGACACTAGGAGTCTGCCGGGGGGCGCTCTCGGGACACCAGGGTCCGCGGGGGGCGCTCTCGGGACACGAGGGTCCGCGGGGGGCGCTCTCGGGACACTAGGAGTCTGCGGGGGGCGCTCTCGGGACACGAGGGTCCGCGGGGGGCGCTCTCGGGGAGTCCGTGGGGGGCGCTCTCGGGACACCAGGGTCCGCGGCGGGCTCTCGGGACACAGGAGTCCGCGGGGGCGCTCTCGGGACACCAGGAGTCCGCGGGGGCGCTCTCGGGACACCAGGAGTCGCGGGGGCGCTCTCGGGAGGGTGGGGGGCGCTCTCTCGGACACTAGGAGTCTGCCGGGGGGCGCTCTCGGGACACCAGGGTCCGCGGGGGGCGCTCTCGGGACACGAGGGTCCGCGGGGGGCGCTCTCGGGGAGTCTGCGGGGGGCGCTCTCGGGACACGAGGGTCCGCGGGGGCGCTCTCGGGGAGTCCGTGGGGGGCGCTCTCGGGACACCAGGGTCCGCGGGGGTGCTCTCGGGACACCAGGAGTCCGCGGGGGGGCGCTCTCGGGACACCAGGAGTCCGCGGGGGGCGCTCTCGGGACACCAGGAGTCCGCGGGGGGCGCTCTCGGGACACCAGGAGTCCGCGGGGGGCGCTCTCGGGACACCAGGAGTCCGCGGGGGGCGCTCTCGGGACACCAAGAGTCCGCGGGGGGCGCAGAGACGCGTGAGCTTCAGGGAGGGCATCTGATGTAAATATGACAAGATATAAATCAGAGTTTCTCAGACTTTTCTCCGAAAGTGAACCTGCTCACGAAAGATTCAAAAGAAAATACACGTAGAAAAAAAATATTGTGAAAATGAAATTACAGTTTTTTCTGTGTTACATAAAAGTTGTTCTTTATATTTGTTGTATAATTCACTGATTGTTTCATATTTTAATCTGTTGTGTTGAAGTTTGGAAAAGTGTTTGTCACATTTCTGTTCCTCCAGTTTTTCTTTTACTGAACAGAGCTGTGAGAATCATCAGAGGAAGTGGAGACACAGACTCAACAAACACAAGATTGTCTTAAATATAAATGTAGTTCAACTGTGTTTTTACCAGGAGAAATAAATCAACAAAAGTGAATAAATGCTGAAAATCTCATGTTTTTATTGAACTCATAAAAACATGCAAAGTCAGAGGTCAGAGTCTGCAGGAAACAGGTATTTCTCCAACTCACACAGACGCCCCACACCAGACCGGACCCACGGGACCCGACCAGACCTGGACCCTGGACCAGACCTAGAGACCGGAGCAGAGATGGAGACCAACAAGGGTTTAATACAGAGAGCAAACAGGACTAAACCAGGACTAAACCAGGTCTAAACCAGGTCCAATACGGGAATAAACCAGGTCTAAACCAGGACTAAACCAGGTCTAAACCAGGTTTAAACTGGGACTAAACCAGCACTAAACCAGATCTAAATCAGAACTAAACCAGGTCCAATACGGGAATAAACCAGGACTAAACCAGGTCTAAACCAGGTCTAAACCAGGACTAAACCAGGTCTAAACCAGGTTTAAACTGGGACTAAACCAGGACTAGACCGGGTCTGAACCAGGACTAAACTGGGACTAAACCAGGACTAAACTGGGACTAAACCAAATCTAAACCAGGTCTAAACCAGGTCTAGAGCAGAGTCAGAGGAGCAGAAGATGGACCTGTTTGATGGATGTGGTTCAGAGGAGGCAGGTTCAGAGGAGGGGGGCATCCGACGCATCTGCAGAGAGAACAATGAGAGGAGAGGGAAACAGAGGCCACATTTACATCATGTTTTTTAGCTCTGAATTAACTGTTCTGAATTCAAATCTTGTAAATAATCATGTTGAATTGTTGTTTTGTTTTTAAACTGGCGAAATGTTTTTTATTTCATATGTGTGAGCGTCTGGAGGTGGAGAAGGTTCTGATTGGACAGAAAAACCAACGGATTTATGTCTTTGGGAAGAAAACACACACTTCAACTGCTCTTAAACCAGGACTAAACCAGGTCTAAACCAGGTCTAAACCAGGACTCTCTAAAAACTGAGCTGTGGTCTTTTCTGTCGTCTGCGTTTGTCGTTCCTCCACGGACACAAAAACCATCCAAACTTTTCCCGCAGTGATTCTGATGAGAATTGGAGAATCGTCTCATCACACTTTCCGTCTGTGAACTGAGGAGGAGGAGACGGGAAGAGCGTCGGAGAAGGAGGAAGAAGACAAAAGCTCAGCCCGCTCCCGCATCCCGCTCACAAATCCAAAGAGACGTGGATCAAAGTCCCGACGTGTCAGAAGGACGACACGACGAGCACGAAGCACCAGTATTATTTTAACAACAACAAACCACAAACAAGATCCACCAAACAAACTCAGTCAGCGAAAAAAACTGAATAAACCAAACACTTACTTCACTATTAAGATGAATTCTGAATCATTTTCATTTAGAATTAAGTGTTTACATGGACTTTTTAAAGTGGAATTTGTTTTTTATCCAGAATTCAAGCTCTCAAGTAAACGTGGCAAGTGACAGAAGGAGGTTTGAAGGTCCAGAGGAGAGAAACAGTGAGAGGAGGAGAGAGAGGAGGTAGAAGGAAGAGATGAAGAGGTTCTTCTCTCTTCATCTCCCCGTGTCTGTGAGAGGGAGGTGTCTGGGGAGAGGGAGCACCTGTCTGCGGTCCTGTTCCACCTGTATGATCTCCCGCAGGACATCGATGGCTATGCGTAGGTTCGTCTCGTTGTGTGTCCTCCTCCTCCTCGCTCTTTTCTCCTCCTCCTTCAGTCTGAGGATCTCCACTCTCTGTTCCTCCCGCTTCAGGCACAGAACTCTGTAGTCATCCCTGAAGAGCAACACATGCTTCATTAGACCTGGAACAGTCCTGGAACAGTCCTGGAATAGTCCTGGAACAGTTCTGGAACAGTCCTGGAATAGTCCTGGAACAGTTCTGGAACACTGGAACAGTCCTGGAACAGTCCTGGAACAGTCCTGGAACAGTCCTGGAACAGTCCTGGAGTGTGACTGTTACCTGAGTTTGTCGGTGAGCTCCTCAGATTTCACCTTCTCCTCGTTCAGACTCAACTTTCTCTTGCTCAGGTCCTTCAACTTCCTGGACAACCTCCCCATCTCCTGCACAAACACACCTGGTTTAGTCCTGGTTCAGTCCTGGTCCAGACCTGGTTGAGGGTCTGGTTTAGTCCTGGTTTAGTCCTGGTCCAGACCTGCTTGAGGGTCTGGTTGATCTTCCTCATGTCTTCGCATTTTTGTTTGGTGGTGTGTGTGCGGAGGTGGATCTCCCTCTGTTGGTCCCTCAGGAGTTTGATATCGTCCCGGAGCTCGTCCGTCTCCCTCTGGGCGTCCGCGATCTCCTCCCTGCACCTGTCGTTCTGCTCCTGCTCCCTGCGCCACTGCGACAGGAGCAACGCCTGCTCCTCCTCCTCCACCACCTGCCGCCTCTGCCACATCAGCCTGACACACAGCGGCAGAGTGGGCAGATCAAGACCTGGGTTAGTTCTGGTTCAGTCCTGGTTCAGTTCTGGTTTAGTTTCTGTGTGTGTGTGTGTTGTGTGTTACATTTTGACTTTTCTGTCGATGCGTTCCTCTTGTTCCTTCTTCGCTTTCTCCAGTTCGGTCTTGTGCTCCTGTTCCTGTCGGACCAGAGCCTGATCCAAGTCCGAGATCTGAGCCATGAGCTGCGCCCTCTGCTGGAAGAACAACTCCTCTGCAACACACAGACACACACACACACACACACACACACACACACACACACACACACAGAGACACACACAAACACACAGAGACACAAACACACACACAGAGACAGACACACACACACACACACAGAGACACAAACACACACACACACAGACACACACACAGACACACACAAACACACAGAGACACAAACACACACACAGAGACAGACACACACACACACACACACAGAGACACAAACACACACACACAGACACACACACACACACACAGACACACACACACACACAGACACACACACAGAGACACACACAAACACACAGAGACACAAACACACACACACAGAGACAGACACACACACACACACACAGAGACACAAACACACACACACACAGACACACACACACACACACACACAGAGACACACAAACACACACACACACAGAGACACAAACACACACACACACAGAGACACAAACACACACACACACACAGACACACACACACACACACACACACACAGAGACACAAACACACACACACACAGAGATACAAACACACACACAGAGACACAAACATACACACACACACACACACACACAGAGACACAAACACACACACACACACTTATACATAAGATATTCAGATCTCCATGTTCCTTTAACTGTTTTAAAAATGTTATCTTCACCAAAAACAACAGATGAACGTGTTTTATAAGTTTCTCTGAGTCTCTCTTCTCTTTGCTCTATGTGCTAAGTCCCTCCCCCTTCAGAGCACTGTCACACACACTCGTGCGTCGCACTAATGAAACTCCTGCACAAACATCAGGTTTGTCGTGTCGTTGTGTTCAGTTTTGTGTCGTGTTTTTGTGTTTTTATGGAGAGTTGTCGTGTGGAGCATGTGGGGGGACGGAGCCTCGTACAGACTCGTACTGCAGCGAAATGTGACGAGGGTTTGAATAGGGCCTGGGAGAGATCTCTAGATGACTCAAACATGGATGGAGGAGTCTAAATTTTCCACACCTGTCCCTCCTCACCTGTCTGTCCTCACCTGTCCCTCCTCACCTGTCCTTGTCTCTCTTCACCTGTCCTCACCTGACTCTCTTTTCCTGCGTTGTGCGTCTTGTATTTTCATCTGTAGTTCTTCCTCTCTCCTTGCGTGTTCTTCCTCCTTGTTCCTCCTCTCTTCCAGCACTGTCCTGAAGTTCCTCTCTGCCTGCTCCAGCTCTGTCCTGAAGCTCTTCTCTGTCTGCTCCAGCTTTCGTCTCAGAGGGTCCAGGATCGTTTTCTGCTCCTTCTTCAGGAGGTCGAGCTTCTCCAGGACCTGAGCTTCTTTACGAGACCACAGCTCGTCCTGCTCCTCCAGACTGGACCCACACAGAACCAGAATCAGGTCTAAAACAGGACTAAACCAGGTCTAAACCATGACCAGAACCAGGTCTAAAACAGGACTAAACCAGGACTAAACCAGGTCTAAACCAGATCTAAACCAGGACAAAACTAGGTCTAAACCAGGTCTAAACCAGGTCTAAATAAAGTCTAAACCAGGACTAAACCAGGCCTAAACCAGGTCTAACCCAGGTCTAAACCGGGACCAAAACAAGGCCTAAACCAGGTCTAACCCAGGTCTAAAACCGGGACCAAAACCAGGTCTAAACCAGGACTAAACCAGGTCTAAACTAGGTCTAAACCAGGTCTAAACCAGGTCTAAATAAAGTCTAAACCAGGACTAAACCAGGCCTAAACCAGGTCTAACCCAGGTCTAAACCGGGACCAAAACCAGGCCTAAACCAGGTCTAACCCAGGTCTAAACCGGGACCAAAACCAGGTCTAAACCAGGACTAAACCAGGTCTAAACTAGGTCTAACCCAGGTCTAAACCGGGACCAAAACCAGGTCTAAACCAGGTCTACACCAGAACTAAACCAGGTCTAAAACTAGGTCTAAACCAGGTCTAAACTAGGTCTAAACTAGGTCTAAACCAGGTCTAAACCAGGTCTAAACCAGGTCTAAACTAGGTCTAAACCAGGTCTAAACCAGGTCTAAACTAGGTCTAAACTAGGTCTAAACCAGGTCTAAACTAGGTCTAAACTAGGTCTAAACCAGGTCTAAACCAGGTCTAAACCAGGTCTAAACCAGGACTAAACCAGGACTAAACCAGGTCTAAAACAAGATTAAACCAGGTCTAAACTGGGACCTAAACCAGGTCTAAACTAGATTTAAACCAGGTCTAAACTAGGACTAAACCAGGTCTAAACCAGGATTAAACCAGGTCTAAACCAGGACCAAAACCAGGTCTAAACCAGGTCTAAACCAGGACTAAACTAGGTCTAAACCAGGACTTAACCAGGTCTAAACAAAGTCTAAACCAGAACCAGGTCTAAACCAGGACTAAAACAGGTCTAAAACAGGTCTCCAGAACTAAACAAGGACTAAAGCAGATCCAAAACCAGGTCTAAACCAAGGTTTAACCGAAATTAAACCAGGTCCAGGTGTAACTCAGGCTAAACTAGACTAAACCAGGACTAAACCAGGTCCAAACCAGGTAACGTGTTAACAAGCTCTGAATATTCAAAGACCAAATATTCCCCAAACAGGTCTAAATCAAGACCAAATGAAAACAGACTAAAGACCACGGACTTTAGATTTGAAACCAACAGCCTCTGTGTAAGTTATATCTTTTATACAACAGGGTTAGTTTGGATTTTAAAGTTAAAAAATAAAACATTTATAGCCACATTAAACACACAGAGCTGTTGTAGTGCGCCCTCAAGTGGCCGCTAACGTACACTACACTTAACAGTTAACTAGCCTACAGTCAATTCAAAACGGATTAAATCAAATAATTTATAAATAACAAGGACTGAAATCAACCGTAACTGTATTTTTTGTTACATATGCTTAGTTTTGTTAGTTTAAATATATTTAGGATGAATATAAACGTTTATTTTAAAGCGACCAAATAAAGAACGTTAAATCTCCGGCGGCCATCTTGGAACTGTTTAACACGGATCTGTGACATTTCGCGGATTTTATTTTATTTAACGATCTGTTTGTAACGTGATGAAGAGGAAATGGGATCTGACCTGATCATCTTCTCCTCCAGCTCCCGGATCTGCTGCAGCGTCTTAGAGCTCATCATGGACCTTCTCCTCCACAAAGATCTGACAACAGGCTAAATCATGGAAAATCTTTGTTAAACCACTTCTTGTGCAAAGTTCATATGAAACACAAAACATTTTAATCCTCAAAACAGCGAAAATGTCAAACGAGTTTCCTTCCACTAAACAAACAACGAAACTGTAGCTGTAACAAAATCATTTAGTAAAATAAACCAAAAATACTCTTGGTGATATATCGATAGAGCAGCCCACAATATCGATACTGTGTCATCACATTAAACGATACGATATATCGATATTTCAATATTTTTGCACACCCCTCTACTCTTTATCACACGAAGATCACAGACCATAGTTTTAAGGTCATGGTTTAAGGTCAAGGGTATATTTCCTCTGTTATTTCTGGCCATTTTTGTTTTATAATTGAGTTGTTTTGTAAGTGTTGCTGTACTTACTGTTACGCAGATAAAAAGTGCGACCTACTCTGTGAAATCTACTCTGTAAAGTCTCCTCTGTGAAGTCTACTGTTTGAAATCTTTGTACGATTTGCTCTGTGTCAAGCTCAGCTAAATGTGCCTTTTCCGTTAAGCGATATGTGATTTTCGATTTGTGATTTGCGATTTGCCTACTCTTATAATCTCCCCGAGGCCAAACAAAGCTTTGAGTTAAAGCCCACAAAGCTTTGAAGTTTAGCTTTGAGTTCCGGAGTTGCCATGGTAACAAGGCTTTATGGAACTTTACATGTATGATGTCATCGGCGCCGTGAACCTGATGGAACTGGGAGGTTTTCAGGTTCTAGAATGTGATGATGTCATACTCCCAGACGGGGCAAGAGCCACGTTTCCCTGTTGACTGAGGCCGAGTGTTGTTAAGAAGTCACTGATATGAGACAAACCTCGATACAGTGCGCTTTCGATTCGATACGGTTCAGTAAAAAATAAAGGCTAAATCATGGAAAATCTTTAGTTAAACCACTTCTTGTGCAAAGTTCATATGAAACACAAACATTTTAATCCTCAAAACAGCGAAAATGTCAAACGAGTTTCCTTCCACTAAACAAACAACGAAACTGTAGCTGTAACAAAATCATTTAGTAAAATAAACCAAAAATACTCTTGGTGATATATCGATAGAGCAGCCCACAATATCGATACTGTGTCATCACATTAAACGATACGATATATCGATATTTCAATATTTTTGCACACCCCTCTACTCTTTATCACACGAAGACACAGCAGTTCTTTAGTTTAAGGTCATGGTTTAAGGTCAAGGAGTATATTTCCTCTGTTATTTCTGGCCATTTTTGTTTTATAATTGAGTTGTTTTGTAAGTGTTGCTGTACTTACTGTTACGCAGATAAAAAGTGCGACCTACTCTGTGAAATCTACTCTGTAAAGTCTCCTCTGTGAAGTCTACTGTTTGAAATCTTTGTACGATTTGCTCTGTGTCAAGCTCAGCTAAATGTGCCTTTTCCGTTAAGCGATATGTGATTTTCGATTTGTGATTTGCGATTTGCCTACTCTTATAATCTCCCCGAGGCCAAACAAAGCTTTGAGTTAAAGCCCACAAAGCTTTGAAGTTTAGCTTTGAGTTCCGGAGTTGCCATGGTAACAAGGCTTTATGGAACTTTACATGTATGATGTCATCGGCGCCGTGAACCTGATGGAACTGGGAGGTTTTCAGGTTCTAGAATGTGATGATGTCATACTCCCAAGACGGGGCAAGAGCCACGTTTCCCTGTTGACTGAGGCCGAGTGTTGTTAAGAAGTCACTGATATGAGACAAACCTCGATACAGTGCGCTTTCGATTCGATACGGTTCAGTAAAAAATAAAGGCTAAATCATGGAAAATCTTTGTTAAACCACTTCTTGTGCAAAGTTCATATGAAACACAAACATTTTTAATCCTCAAAACAGCGAAAATGTCAAACGAGTTTCCTTCCACTAAACAAACAACGAAACTGTAGCTGTAACAAAATCATTTAGTAAAATAAACCAAAAATACTCTTGGTGATATATCGATAGAGCAGCCCACAATATCGATACTGTGTCATCACATTAAACGATACGATATATATCGATATTTCAATATTTTTGCACACCCCTCTACTCTTTATCACACGAAGACCACAGTTCTTTTAGTTTAAGGTCATGGTTTAAGGTCAAGGGTATATTTTCCTCTGTTATTTCTGGCCATTTTTGTTTTATAATTGAGTTGTTTTGTAAGTGTTGCTGTACTTACTGTTACGCAGATAAAAAGTGCGACCTACTCTGTGAAATCTACTCTGTAAAGTCTCCTCTGTGAAGTCTACTGTTTGAAATCTTTGTACGATTTGCTCTGTGTCAAGCTCAGCTAAATGTGCCTTTTCCGTTAAGCGATATGTAATTTTCGATTTGTGATTTTCGATTTGCCTACTCTTATAATCTCCCCGAGGCCAAACAAAGCTTTGAAGTTTAGCTTTGAGTTCCGGAGTTGCCATGGTAACAAGGCTTTATGGAACTTTACATGTATGATGTCATCGGCGCCGTGAAACCTGATGGAACTGGGAGGTTTTCAGGTTCTAGAATGTGATGATGTCATACTCCCAGACGGGGCAAGAGCCACGTTTCCCTGTTGACTGAGGCCGAGTGTTGTTAAGAAGTCACTGATATGAGACAAACCTCGATACAGTGCGCTTTCGATTCGATACGGTTCAGTAAAAAAATAAAGGCTAAATCATGGAAAATCTTTGTTTAAACCACTTCTTGTGCAAAGTTCATATGAAACACAAACATTTTCATCCTCAAAACAGCGAAAATGTCAAACGAGTTTCCTTCCACTAAACAAACAACGAAACTGTAGCTGTAACAAAATCATTTAGTAAAATAAACCAAAAATACTCTTGGTGATATATCGATAGAGCAGCCCACAATATCGATACTGTGTCATCACATTAAACGATACGATATATCGATATTTCAATATTTTTGCACACCCCTCTACTCTTTATCACACTGTACTTTGCCACGAAATATCCAAAAGGTAAACGCACAAATGTTAAACCTGGTATTGAAATGATTAAAAACTCACTGTTAGAACACAATGGCCACGTTCACATGATGTTTTTTAATTGTTCTGGATTAAATTGTTTGGACTTAAAATATTTTCCTTGGAGTTTACATGGAAATAATAATTCTGAATATCTGGGTTTCACGTGACATTACAGGGCGACGTTTGTCAGCACGCAAAATCAGATGGAGGGCAAGAAGTGAACCGACTGGAGGGAAATGCCGATGTGTTGTGCAGTTTACGGCTGTGCCAATTGTTCTAACCGAGAGAAGGAAAAGCGATTTTTTTAGAGTACCGAAGATAGTCGTCCACAAAGGTCAGAAATGGGAAAGCTGACAGAANAAAACATATGAAAAGTGAACAGTATAGCGCCCCCTACCAGACCAAAGCGTCAAAGCGTCCACTTTCTATGTAAAGTCTATGTGGACGCGCGACTAGAGCGTCCTGCGTTTTTGCGGCGCGTTTTCGGCGTCAGCGCGGCGCGAATCCGGCGTCGACGCGGCGCGTCTTGAGCGTTTTGGCGTCAGCGGCCAAGACGCGCGTCCAAAGCGTCAGTCCAGGACTGTGTGGTCGGGTTGTGTGTGAGTCTGACCTCGGCGCAGCTTCCTTGTCTCTGTCCACGCGTCACGATCAGGTTCGTCGCCACAAAGAACGAGTTTTTATCCTGAAACAAAAAAGAAAAGAAAAAAATATATTAAAGAGGAAATATGACACTTGTACGTGGCAGTGTAACTGTAACTGTAACGTCACATATTTAGATGTGAGAGATCACTAGATGACTCAAACAAACATTCAAACATTAGAACATTAGAACAGAGAAGGTTCCAGATCAGCCCCTGTTTAAGGAGATGGAGGTGTTAGAGATGGAGGAGGTGGACATGGAGGAGAAGGAGGTGGAGGTGGAGATGGAGGAGGTGGAGGAGGTGGAGGAGGTGGAGGAGCAGGAGGTGGAGTTGGAGGAGGTGGAGGAGATGGTGGAGGAGATGGTAGAGGAGATGGTGGAGGAGATGGAGCAGGAGATGGAGCAGGAGCAGGTGGAGGTGGTGCTGGAGGAGGAGATGGTGGAGGAGGAGGTGATGGTGGTGGAGATGAAGATGAAGGTGGAGGTGGAGATGGAGGAGGTGGAGAAGGTGGAGGAGGTGAAGGAGAAGGAGGTGGAGTTGGAGGAGGTGGAGGAGATGGTAGAGGAGATGGAGCAAGAGATGGAGCAGGAGATGGAGCAGGAGCAGGTGGAGGTGGTGCTGGAGGAGGAGATGGTGGAGGAGGAGGTGATGGTGGTGGAGATGAAGATGAAGGTGGAGGAGGAGGTGATGGTGGAAGAGGTGGAGGTGGAGAAGGAGGAGATGGAGCAGGTGGAGGTGGTGCTGGAGGAGGAGATGGTGGAGGAGAAGGAGGTGAAGGTGGTGGAGATGAAGATGGAGGAGATGGAGATGGCATAGATGGAGGTGGAGGTCCGGACCTGGGAGGGGGGGCTGTTTGAATGTTTGTTTGAGTCATCTAGTGATCTCTCACATCTAATATGACACTGACACACAGAGTCCACATGTCCCCGTGTCCCCGAGACTGTGTCCCCCTGTCCCCAAACATTTATACAAACTACTGATCTGACCCAGATTATACAAGAAATGTTGATCTGAACCAGGACTAAACCAGGACTAAACCAGGACTAAACCAGGATGAAACCAGGACGAAAACCAGGACGAAAACCAGGACGAAACCAGGACGAAAACCAGGACTAAACCAGATCTAAACCATGTCTAAACCAGGTCTAAACGAGCACTAAACCAGGACTAAATCAGGACTAAACTGGGACTAAACTAGGACTAAACCAGGACTAAACTATGACTAAACCAGGACTAAACCAGGTCTATTTCAGTTCTAAACCAGGACTAAACCAGGACTACATCGGGTCTATTTCACTTCTAAACCAGGTGTAATCCAGAGGAGTAAAACCTGCACGTGAGCTCTGCAGCGGGGGGAGACGGAGCTCTGCAGCGGGGGGAGCGGGAGAGCGGGGCAGATGTGCGGGGGCAGATGCGCGGGGGCAGATGCGCGGGGCAGAGGACTCGGTTTACGCCCAAACGGGACAGAACTGGACACTTTACCACGATAAAAAAAAGATAAATAAAAAAGACAAGCACGTGCGTAAAATTTGTCTCATTTGTACAAATTTACTGGAAACGAAACCAGAAAGTCACAGTCAGTGGCTCCAGTGCGACTTTTTATAGACCGATAATATTTAATCAATATTTAATAGTAAATAGATAATATAAAAAGTAATAATAAAGATGAGATCTGCTCAAATGAATCTTAAAATACAGATTTGTGATGTAATACAGTGAGTTTTTGGCTAAAGTGACCAGTCCCAGTTTTATTTATTTATTTGCACATTAATCAACATCAAAACAATGTAAATGTGAGTTCGCTGATAAGAGCTCATTTGCATCAAAAAGGCATCCTAAAAAGAAAATACACTTAAAAGTTATACATCAAAAATTATACTAATGTACAATAAGATTGCAAAAATAGTGTAAAAGTTTTAGTTTTAGTGTTCACACATTTGTATTTTTGAGCCTGTGTCTCCAGATTTATACAAAACCACTGATTTGTCCAAGTTTTATACAAGAAATGTCCCTATTTTGAACCAATTTAATATTTGTCAACAGTAAAGAGAGACATAAACTGACATTTGTTTGGGTAAAATACAGAAAATCTGCTTCAAAACGACCAAAACACAAAGAAAATGTGACAGTACTGACTCACATGTTCGAGTCCAGAATATTTTTTTTTAAATTCTGCACTCGAGTCACAATTTTTCTTCTCACAAACCGAGTGTCCCAGTTTTTGATTTTGGAATCCTGGTCACTCCAAGTGTGACTCAAACACACCGATCTGTGGTTTCTCTGCACAAGTCGAAATCAGAATAAATGAGAGTAAATGTGAAGAATAGTCTGGTCTGTGCTGGAGTCGTGGGTCGAGGCACAAACTGAATTCCTCCCAGACAAAGACTCAGTGTTCAGTCTGAGCGAAGGAACATCTGCCTCTGTCACTCACGCCCCACACGCCAACAGGAGGCGCTCTCGGGACACTAGGAGTCTGCCCGGGGGCGCTCTCGGGACACTAGGGTCCGCGGGGGGCGCTCTCGGGACACTAGGAGTCTGCGGGGGCGCTCTCGGGACACTAGGGTCGCGGGGGGCGCTCTCGGGACACTAGGAGTCTGCCGGGGGCGCTCTCGGGACACTAGGGTCGGGGGGCGCTCTCGGGACACTAGGAGTCTGCGGGGGCGCCTCGGGACACAGGGTCGCGGGGGGGCGCTCTCGGGACACTAGGGTCTGCCGGGGGGCGCTCTCGGGACACCAGGAGTCCGTGGGGGGCGCTCTCGGGACACTAGGAGTCTGCGGGGGGCGCTCTCGGGACACCAGGGTCCGCGGGGGGCGCTCTCGGGACACGAGGGTCCGCGGGGGGCGCTCTCGGGGACACTAGGAGTCTGCGGGGGGCGCTCTCGGGACACGAGGGTCCGCGGGGGCGCTCTCGGGAGTCCGTGGGGGGCGCTCTCGGGACACCAGGGTCCGCGGCGGGCTCTCGGGACACCAGGAGTCCGCGGGGGGCGCTCTCGGGACACCAGGAGTCCGCGGGGGCGCTCTCGGGACACCAGGAGTCCGCGGGGGCGCTCTCGGGACACCAGGAGTCCGCGGGGGGCGCTCTCTCGGACACCAAGAGTCCGCGGGGGGCGCAGAGACGCGTGAGCTTCAGGGAGGGCATCTGATGTAAATATGACAAGATATAAATCAGAGTTTCTCAGACTTTTCTCCGAAAGTGAACCTGCTCACGAAAAGATTCAAAAGAAAATACACGTAGAAAAAAAATATTGTGAAAATGAAATTACAGTTTTTTCTGTGTTACATAAAAGTTGTTCTTTATATTTGTTGTATAATTCACTGATTGTTTCATATTTAATCTGTTGTGTTGAAGTTTGGAAAAGTGTTTGTCACATTTCTGTTCCTCCAGTTTTTCTTTTACTGAACAGAGCTGTGAGAATCATCAGAGGAAGTGGAGACACAGACTCAACAAACACAAGATTGTCTTAAATATAAATGTAGTTCAACTGTTTTTACCAGGAGAAATAAATCAACAAAAGTGAATAAATGCTGAAAATCTCATGTTTTATTGAACTCATAAAAACATGCAAAGTCAGAGGTCAGAGTCTGCAGGAAACAGGTATTTCTCCAACTCACACAGACGCCCCACACCAGACCGGACCCACGGGACCCGACCAGACCTGGACCCTGGACCAGACCTAGAGACCGGAGCAGAGATGGAGACCAACAAGGGTTTAATACAGAGAGCAAACAGGACTAAACCAGGACTAAACCAGGTCTAAACCAGGTCCAATACGGGAATAAACCAGGTCTAAACCAGGACTAAACCAGGTCTAAACCAGGTTTAAACTGGGACTAAACCAGCACTAAACCAGATCTAAATCAGAACTAAACCAGGTCCAATACGGGAATAAACCAGGACTAAACCAGGTCTAAACCAGGTCTAAACCAGGACTAAACCAGGTCTAAACCAGGTTTAAACTGGGACTAAACCAGGACTAGACCGGGTCTGAACCAGGACTAAACTGGGACTAAACCAGGACTAAACTGGGACTAAACCAAATCTAAACCAGGTCTAAACCAGGTCTAGAGCAGAGTCAGAGGAGCAGAAGATGGACCTGTTTGATGGATGTGGTTCAGAGGAGGCAGGTTCAGAGGAGGGGGGCATCCGACGCATCTGCAGAGAGAACAATGAGAGGAGAGGGAAACAGAGGCCACATTTACATCATGTTTTTTAGCTCTGAATTAACTGTTCTGAATTCAAATCTTGTAAATAATCATGTTGAATTGTTGTTTTGTTTTTAAACTGGCGAAATGTTTTTTATTTCATATGTGTGAGCGTCTGGAGGTGGAGAAGGTTCTGATTGGACAGAAAAACCAACGGATTTATGTCTTTGGGAAGAAAACACACACTTCAACTGCTCTTAAACCAGGACTAAACCAGGACTAAACCAGGTCTAAACCAGGACTCTCTAAAAACTGAGCTGTGGTCTTTTCTGTCGTCTGCGTTTGTCGTTCCTCCACGGACACAAAAACCATCCAAACTTTTCCCGCAGTGATTCTGATGAGAATTGGAGAATCGTCTCATCACACTTTCCGTCTGTGAACTGAGGAGGAGGAGACGGGAAGAGCGTCGGAGAAGGAGGAAGAAGACAAAAGCTCAGCCCGCTCCCGCATCCCGCTCACAAATCCAAAGAGACGTGGATCAAAGTCCCGACGTGTCAGAAGGACGACACGACGAGCACGAAGCACCAGTATTATTTTAACAACAACAAACCACAAACAAGATCCACCAAACAAACTCAGTCAGCGAAAAAAAACTGAATAAACCAAACACTTACTTCACTATTAAGATTAATTCTGAATCATTTTCATTTAGACTTAAGTGTTTACATGGACTTTTTAAAGTGGAATTTGTTTTTTTATCCAGAATTCAAGCTCTCAAGTAAACGTGGCAAGTGACAGAAGGAGGTTTGAAGGTCCAGAGGAGAGAAACAGTGAGAGGAGGAGAGAGAGGAGGTAGAAGGAAGAGATGAAGAGGTTCTTCTCTCTTCATCTCCCCGTGTCTGTGAGAGGGAGGTGTCTGGGGAGAGGGAGCACCTGTCTGCGGTTATGTTCCACCTCTATGATCTCCCGCAGGACATCGATGGCTATGCGTAGGTTCGTCTCGTTGTGTGTCCTCCTCCTCCTCGCTCTTTTCTCCTCCTCCTTCAGTCTGAGGATCTCCACTCTCTGTTCCTCCCGCTTCAGGCACAGAACTCTGTAGTCATCCCTGAAGAGCAACACATGCTTCATTAGACCTGGAACAGTCCTGGAACAGTCCTGGAATAGTCCTGGAACAGTTCTGGAACAGTCCTGGAATAGTCCTGGAACAGTTCTGGAACAGTCCTGGAATAGTCCTGGAACAGTCCTGGAATAGTCCTGGAACAGTCCTGGAACAGTCCTGGAGTGTGACTGTTACCTGAGTTTGTCGGTGAGCTCCTCAGATTTCACCTTCTCCTCGTTCAGACTCAACTTTCTCTTGCTCAGGTCCTTCAACTTCCTGGACAACCTCCCCATCTCCTGCACAAACACACCTGGTTTAGTCCTGGTTCAGTCCTGGTCCAGACCTGGTTGAGGGTCTGGTTTAGTCCTGGTTTAGTCCTGGTCCAGACCTGCTTGAGGGTCTGGTTGATCTTCCTCATGTCTTCGCATTTTTGTTTGGTGGTGTGTGTGCGGAGGTGGATCTCCCTCTGTTGGTCCCTCAGGAGTTTGATATCGTCCCGGAGCTCGTCCGTCTCCCTCTGGGCGTCCGCGATCTCCTCCCTGCACCTGTCGTTCTGCTCCTGCTCCCTGCGCCACTGCGACAGGAGCAACGCCTGCTCCTCCTCCTCCACCACCTGCCGCCTCTGCCACATCAGCCTGACACACAGCGGCAGAGTGGGCAGATCAAGACCTGGGTTAGTTCTGGTTCAGTCCTGGTTCAGTTCTGGTTTAGTTTCTGTGTGTGTGTGTGTTGTGTGTTACATTTTGACTTTTCTGTCGATGCGTTCCTCTTGTTCCTTCTTCGCTTTCTCCAGTTCGGTCTTGTGCTCCTGTTCCTGTCGGACCAGAGCCTGATCCAAGTCCGAGATCTGAGCCATGAGCTGCGCCCTCTGCTGGAAGAACAACTCCTCTGCAACACACAGACACACACACACACACACACACACACACACACGACACACACACAGAGACACACACACAACACACACACACACACGACACACACACACAGACACACACACACACACAGAGACACACACACACACACACAGAGACAGACACACACACACACACACAGAGACACAAACACACACACACACAGACACACACACACACACACAGAGACACAAACACACACACACACAGAGACACACACACACACACACACACAGAGACACAACACACACACACACACACACAGAGACACAGACACACACACACACACACACACACACACAGAGACACAGACACACACACACACACACACAGAGACACAAACACACACACACACACAGACACACACACACACAGACACAGACACAAACACACACACACACACACACACAGACACAAACACACACAGACACAGAGACACAAACACACACACACACACTTATACATAAGATATTCAGATCTCCATGTTCCTTTAACTGTTTTAAAAATGTTATCTTCACCAAAAACAACAGATGAACGTGTTTTATAAGTTTCTCTGAGTCTCTCTTCTCTTTGCTCTATGTGCTAAGTCCCTCCCCCTTCAGAGCACTGTCACACACACTCGTGCGTCGCACTAATGAAACTCCTGCACAAACATCAGGTTTGTCGTGTCGTTGTGTTCAGTTTTGTGTCGTGTTTTTGTGTTTTTATGGAGAGTTGTCGTGTGGAGCATGTGGGGGGACGGAGCCTCGTACAGACTCGTACTGCAGCGAAATGTGACGAGGGTTTGAATAGGGCCTGGGAGAGATCTCTAGATGACTCAAACATGGATGGAGGAGTCTAAATTTTCCACACCTGTCCCTCCTCACCTGTCTGTCCTCACCTGTCCCTCCTCACCTGTCCTTGTCTCTCTTCACCTGTCCTCACCTGACTCTCTTTTCCTGTTTTGTGCGTCTTGTATTTTTCATCTGTAGTTCTTCCTCTCTCCTTGCGTGTTCTTCCTCCTTGTTCCTCCTCTCTTCCAGCACTGTCCTGAAGCTTCCTCTCTGCCTGCTCCAGCTCTGTCCTGAAGCTCTTCTCTGTCTGCTCCAGCTTTCGTCTCAGAGGGTCCAGGATCGTTTTCTGCTCCTTCTTCAGGAGGTCGAGCTTCTCCAGGACCTGAGCTTCTTTACGAGACCACAGCTCGTCCTGCTCCTCCAGACTGGACCCACACAGAACCAGAATCAGGTCTAAAACAGGACTAAACCAGGTCTAAACCATGACCAGAACCAGGTCTAAAACAGGACTAAACCAGGACTAAACCAGGTCTAAACCAGATCTAAACCAGGACAAAACTAGGTCTAAACCAGGTCTAAACCAGGTCTAAATAAAGTCTAAACCAGGACTAAACCAGGCCTAAACCAGGTCTAACCCAGGTCTAAACCGGGACCAAAACAAGGCCTAAACCAGGTCTAACCCAGGTCTAAACCGGGACCAAAACCAGGTCTAAACCAGGACTAAACCAGGTCTAAACTAGGTCTAAACCAGGTCTAAACCAGGTCTAAATAAAGTCTAAACCAGGACTAAACCAGGCCTAAACCAGGTCTAACCCAGGTCTAAACCGGGACCAAAACCAGGCCTAAACCAGGTCTAACCCAGGTCTAAACCGGGACCAAAACCAGGTCTAAACCAGGACTAAACCAGGTCTAAACTAGGTCTAACCCAGGTCTAAACCGGGACCAAAACCAGGTCTAAACCAGGTCTACACCAGAACTAAACCAGGTCTAAACTAGGTCTAAACCAGGTCTAAACTAGGTCTAAACTAGGTCTAAACCAGGTCTAAACCAGGTCTAAACCAGGTCTAAACTAGGTCTAAACCAGGTCTAAACCAGGTGTAAACTAGGTCTAAACTAGGTCTAAACCAGGTCTAAACTAGGTCTAAACTAGGTCTAAACCAGGTCTAAACCAGGTCTAAACCAGGTCTAAACCAGGACTAAACCAGGACTAAACCAGGTCTAAAACAAGATTAAACCAGGTCTAAACTGGGACCTAAACCAGGTCTAAACTAGATTTAAACCAGGTCTAAACTAGGACTAAACCAGGTCTAAACCAGGATTAAACCAGGTCTAAACCAGGACCAAAACCAGGTCTAAACCAGGTCTAAACCAGGACTAAACTAGGTCTAAACCAGGACTTAACCAGGTCTAAACAAAGTCTAAACCAGAACCAGGTCTAAACCAGGACTAAAACAGGTCTAAAACAGGTCTCCAGAACTAAACAAGGACTAAAGCAGATCCAAAACCAGGTCTAAACCAAGGTTTAACCGAAATTAAACCAGGTCCAGGTGTAACTCAGGCTAAACTAGACTAAACCAGGACTAAACCAGGTCCAAACCAGGTAACGTGTTAACAAGCTCTGAATATTCAAAGACCAAATATTCCCCAAACAGGTCTAAATCAAGACCAAATGAAAACAGACTAAAGACCACGGACTTTAGATTTGAAACCAACAGCCTCTGTGTAAGTTATATCTTTTATACAACAGGGTTAGTTTGGATTTTAAAGTTAAAAAATAAAACATTTATAGCCACATTAAACACACAGAGCTGTTGTAGTGCGCCCTCAAGTGGCCGCTAACGTACACTACACTTAACAGTTAACTAGCCTACAGTCAATTCAAAACGGATTAAATCAAATAATTTATAAATAACAAGGACTGAAATCAACCGTAACTGTATTTTTTGTTACATATGCTTAGTTTTGTTAGTTTAAATATATTTAGGATGAATATAAACGTTTATTTTAAAGCGACCAAATAAAGAACGTTAAATCTCCGGCGGCCATCTTGGAACTGTTTAACACGGATCTGTGACATTTCGCGGATTTTATTTTATTTAACGATCTGTTTGTAACGTGATGAAGAGGAAATGGGATCTGACCTGATCATCTTCTCCTCCAGCTCCCGGATCTGCTGCAGCGTCTTAGAGCTCATCATGGACCTTCTCCTCCACAAAGATCTGACAACAGGCTAAATCATGGAAAATCTTTGTTAAACCACTTCTTGTGCAAAGTTCATATGAAACACAAACATTTTAATCCTCAAAACAGCGAAAATGTCAAACGAGTTTCCTTCCACTAAACAAACAACGAAACTGTAGCTGTAACAAAATCATTTAGTAAAATAAACCAAAAATACTCTTGGTGATATATCGATAGAGCAGCCCACAATATCGATACTGTGTCATCACATTAAACGATACGATATATCGATATTTCAATATTTTTGCACACCCCCTCTACTCTTTATCACACGAAGATCACAGACCATAGTTTAAGGTCATGGTTTAAGGTCAAGGTATATTTCCTCTGTTATTTCTGGCCATTTTTGTTTTATAATTGAGTTGTTTTGTAAGTGTTGCTGTACTTACTGTTACGCAGATAAAAAGTGCGACCTACTCTGTGAAATCTACTCTGTAAAGTCTCCTCTGTGAAGTCTACTGTTTGAAATCTTTGTACGATTTGCTCTGTGTCAAGCTCAGCTAAATGTGCCTTTTCCGTTAAGCGATATGTGATTTTCGATTTGTGATTTGCGATTTGCCTACTCTTATAATCTCCCCGAGGCCAAACAAAGCTTTGAGTTAAAGCCCACAAAGCTTTGAAGTTTAGCTTTGAGTTCCGGAGTTGCCATGGTAACAAGGCTTTATGGAACTTTACATGTATGATGTCATCGGCGCCGTGAACCTGATGGAACTGGGAGGTTTTCAGGTTTCTAGAATGTGATGATGTCATACTCCCAGACGGGGCAAGAGCCACGTTTCCCTGTTGACTGAGGCCGAGTGTTGTTAAGAAGTCACTGATATGAGACAAACCTCGATACAGTGCGCTTTCGATTCGATACGGTTCAGTAAAAAATAAAGGCTAAATCATGGAAAATCTTAGTTAAACCACTTCTTGTGCAAAGTTCATATGAAACACAAACATTTTAATCCTCAAAACAGCGAAAATGTCAAACGAGTTTCCTTCCACTAAACAAACAACGAAACTGTAGCTGTAACAAAAAATCATTTAGTAAAATAAACCAAAAATACTCTTGGTGATATATCGATAGAGCAGCCCACAATATCGATACTGTGTCATCACATTAAACGATACGATATATCGATATTTCAATATTTTTGCACACCCCTCTACTCTTTATCACACGAAGATCACAGACCATAGTTTAAGGTCATGGTTTAAGGTCAAGAGTATATTTCCTCTGTTATTTCTGGCCATTTTTGTTTTATAATTGAGTTGTTTTGTAAGTGTTGCTGTACTTACTGTTACGCAGATAAAAAGTGCGACCTACTCTGTGAAATCTACTCTGTAAAGTCTCCTCTGTGAAGTCTACTGTTTGAAATCTTTGTACGATTTGCTCTGTGTCAAGCTCAGCTAAATGTGCCTTTTCCGTTAAGCGATATGTGATTTTCGATTTGTGATTTGCGATTTGCCTACTCTTATAATCTCCCCGAGGCCAAACAAAGCTTTGAGTTAAAGCCCACAAAAGCTTTGAAGTTTAGCTTTGAGTTCCGGAGTTGCCATGGTAACAAGGCTTTATGGAACTTTACATGTATGATGTCATCGGCGCCGTGAACCTGATGGAACTGGGAGGTTTTCAGGTTCTAGAATGTGATGATGTCATACTCCAAGACGGGGCAAGAGCCACGTTTCCCTGTTGACTGAGGCCGAGTGTTGTTAAGAAGTCACTGATATGAGACAAACCTCGATACAGTGCGCTTTCGATTCGATACGGTTCAGTAAAAAAAATAAAGGCTAAATCATGGAAAATCTTTGTTAAACCACTTCTTGTGCAAAGTTCATATGAAACACAAACATTTTAATCCTCAAAACAGCGAAAATGTCAAACGAGTTTCCTTCCACTAAACAAACAACGAAACTGTAGCTGTAACAAAATCATTTAGTAAAATAAACCAAAAATACTCTTGGTGATATATCGATAGAGCAGCCCACAATATCGATACTGTGTCATCACATTAAACGATACGATATATATCGATATTTCAATATTTTTGCACACCCCTCTACTCTTTATCACACGAAGACCGCAGTTCTTTAGTTTAAGGTCATGGTTTAAGGTCAAGGGTATATTTCCTCTGTTATTTCTGGCCATTTTTGTTTTATAATTGAGTTGTTTTGTAAGTGTTGCTGTACTTACTGTTACGCAGATAAAAAGTGCGACCTACTCTGTGAAATCTACTCTGTAAAGTCTCCTCTGTGAAGTCTACTGTTTGAAATCTTTGTACGATTTGCTCTGTGTCAAGCTCAGCTAAATGTGCCTTTTCCGTTAAGCGATATGTGATTTTCGATTTGTGATTTGCGATTTGCCTACTCTTATAATCTCCCCGAGGCCAAACAAAGCTTTGAGTTTTTGAAGTTTAGCTTTGAGTTCCGGAGTTGCCATGGTAACAAGGCTTTATGGAACTTTACATGTATGATGTCATCGGCGCCGTGAACCTGATGGAACTGGGAGGTTTTCAGGTTCTAGAATGTGATGATGTCATACTCCCAGACGGGGCAAGAGCCACGTTTCCCTGTTGACTGAGGCCGAGTGTTGTTAAGAAGTCACTGATATGAGACAAACCTCGATACAGTGCGCTTTCGATTCGATACGGTTCAGTAAAAAAATAAAGGCTAAATCATGGAAAATCTTTGTTAAACCACTTCTTGTGCAAAGTTCATATGAAACACAAACATTTTAATCCTCAAAACAGCGAAAATGTCAAACGAGTTTCCTTCCACTAAACAAACAACGAAACTGTAGCTGTAACAAAATCATTTAGTAAAATAAACCAAAAATACTCTTGGTGATATATCGATAGAGCAGCCCACAATATCGATACTGTGTCATCACATTAAACGATACGATATATCGATATTTCAATATTTTTGCACACCCCTCTACTCTTTATCACACTGTACTTTGCCACGAAATATCCAAAAGGTAAACGCACAAATGTTAAACCTGGTATTGAAATGATTAAAAAACTCACTGTTAGAACACAATGGCCACGTTCACATGATGTTTTTTAATTGTTCTGGATTAAATTGTTTGGACTTAAAATATTTTCCTTGGAGTTTACATGGAAATAATAATTCTGAATATCTGGGTTTCACGTGACATTACAGGGCGACATTTGTCAGCACGCAAAATCAGATGGAGGGCAAGAAGTGAACCGACTGGAGGGAAATGCCGATGTGTTGTGCAGTTTACGGCTGTGCCAATTGTTCTAACCGAGAGAAGGAAAAGCGATTTTTTTAGAGTACCGAAGATAGTCGTCCACAAAGGTCAGAAATGGGAAAAGCTGACAGAACAACGCCATAAAAAGTGGATTACAAACTAGAGCCCGACCGATATGGATTTTGCTGTGGCCGATATGAAACCGATATAATGGGAGTTGGCGCTGCCGATAGCCGATATAATCACCGATATATTTAGTGATGTAAAAATTCACTGTAAATGTTGAATTGTTTAAAAAAACTTAGGTTTGGCTCTGGTGGATTTTAAATTGGGTTTATTTAGGCAACATTTATTGTTATTCTGCCTCTTTACATCATATTTACAGACAGTAGGTTGGCTTTAATGGCATTTTTGCATCACATTCTAGACACTAGTGATGGGTATTCCAGTTCTTTTTAGAGAACCGGCTCTTTTGGCTCGGCTCACTAAAAGCTGCTGGTTCTTTTGGCTCCCAAGTGGCTCTTCAGATTGTTTTGTTGCAAGCAGGACTGAATCAGGACTGAACCAGGTCTAAACCAGGACTGAAAAAGGACTAAACCGGGACTTATTTATTTTATGCTAAACTACAGTCAAATATGCTCGTTTTTTTTTTTTTTTTCTTTAATCCTACGTACACGCAAATTTCTCAAAGTTTCGTTTTTAGCCGCTGCCGCTGTCAAACCACGAATCACGCGGCGTGAAGAGAAAAAAAAGTGAGAGAAAGAGAAAAAACACGGCTCCCAATAAGGATCAGGCTCCCGTCGTTCCCTTCAAAGAGCCGGTTCTAAGAGTCATTTCGTTCGCGACGGACCCATAACTAGTAAAGAAAGTAGCGCTATTAGCCTTTAGCCGTAAATACGTGCGCGCCGCGGTAATTAATTATATGCGCAAATGTCATAATTCACACGTCTGTTCACAGCTCATTTACATATCAGTGCAGGTCCAGTAGCAAATATACGGCCAATATAGTCACTTTAGAACAGACCAATAGAAAACAGTCTGTTTATGTGCGGGAGCTACAGCAGCTAACCCATAACAAATGACAAAAACTAGCTTCAGAGTCGACATATTTCCAACACTCACCGCTCATACAGGCTCCTCCTCACATCACAAATCTGCACTAATAAATGTCCTTTTAATCCAGACTCAAACCGATTGTCCGTAAAAAGAATATAATCTCAGTGTTTGGATCTGTGTCTGCAGGTGTAAACAAACACACGTGAGTGACGCGACTCTGTGGTGTGTTCAGGGACAGTACGGACACACACAGACAAATGACTCCGTAGATAAATACTGATGTGGAGCCACATATTAGGACATTTATCTGTCTGTAAATTGGATTAAATGAACAGAATGTAGAGAGTCTAAGCTTTATAACGAGGTATAACATGCCCATGTGAAATATCGGCCCCTATCAGCAAGCATATCGGCCGATAGCCGATATGCCTAAAGTTGCCCATATCAGCCGATAATATCGGCCAACCGATATATCGGTCGGGCTCTATTACAAACCTACGTTTGCGGTCGGGAGGAGCAGAATCCGCAAATGCTCGTGTCTGCAGTGAACACTTCGTCAAAGGTTTGTTACAAAGCTAAATTGTTGTTTGTGGTTTACCTAAACATAAATGAATCATTAATGACTAACGATGTTTGTTGACATTAAATAGTTCGGATAGATCGGTTACTGCCGATACACTGGGGTCCGGTCAAGCGGTAACGGAGGGAAACGGGTAGATTTTTGACATTCAAATAGTTCTCATTCAGAAACTAGAGGGACTATTGAAATAAGTAAAGTATCAGAATGTAGGAAAGAGTTAACACTCCAACAGGGTAAAGTTAAACCTGTGATATTCTTTCAAGTTGTTGACAAAAAATTTAAAAACTCATGTCGGTAACGGAGGGAATGGTCCAAATGAGTTCAGATTTGACATGTCACATCTACAGACATAGCTTCACTCAAATCTTCCATGTTTTTGGGATACTCCTTACGGTTCGCCCGTAGCACGCCGGCGAATAACGCCTTCATTTCCTGTTTTTTCGGTGACCTGTCACGGCCACAGGCATTGTCCTAGAGAACTCAAATTCAAATCACAATTGCGTGATCCAGGCCTGAATGTGATGAAATATGAAATTTAATAAAAGTGAACTCTATAGCGCCCCCTAGCATAGACGTGAAACGTCAACATTATCGGATTAGTACCAAATTCGGGACATAAATTCTATGTATGATTACAAGCAAAAAAGTCTATTACGGACATGGTGCATTTTCCACCATTGGCCAGCAGGGGCGCAAAGACTCCACTGAAAAATAGTTAAAAAATAATTACACACACAGGCTTAGTCCGATTGTGCTGAAATTTGAATCACTAATGCCTGATCACGGCCTGAATATAATACACTATAAAACATATGAAAAGTGAACTCTATAGCGCCCCCTAGCATTGACAAACATCAACATTATCGGATTAGTACCAA